TGCTGGGCCGGACATGCTGGAGCTCCAGTACGAGCTGGAGTCCAAGGCAGCAAAGTGGTGTGCCACTACTGACATTGCCAATGCATTTTTGTCCATTCCTCTGGCAGCTGAATGCAGGCCTCAGTTTGCCTTCTCCTGGAGAATCATGCAGTACACCTGGAACCAACTGCCCCAGGGGTGGAAACACAGCCCCACTGTCTGCCATGGACCGATCCAGGCTGCACTGGAAAAGGGTGAAGCTCCAGAACATCTGCAGTACATCAGTGACATCATTGTGTGGGGAACTGGGAAATGGAAGTATTTGAGAAAGGAGAAAAAATCATCCAGATTCTGCTGGAAGCCAGCTTCTCCATCAAAAAGAGCAAAGTCAAGAGACCTGTCCAGGAGGTCCAGTTCCTGGGAGTAAAGTGGCAGGACAGACAATGCCAGATACCCCTGAGGTAATCAACAAGATCACAGTAATGTCTCCACCGACCAACAAGAAGAAAACACTGACTCGTGGATGGTAGACATTGCTCTGTGGAGGCCTTTCCTGGCTGGAAAGGTGGAAAAAGGCCAATTGGCAGCATAGGGGAAAAGCAATCTGGGCTGCAGACGAATGGCAAGACATTGCCAGGCGGGTAGAGAAGCTCCCTGTGAAAGTCTGTCATGTGGGTGCCCACGTGCCCCAGAGTTGAGCTAATGAGGAGCACTGAAAGAATGAAGAGGTGCATCAGGCTGCAAAAATCGAGGTGTTACAGATAGGTTTGGATTGGCAACACAAGGGACAGTTGTTCCCAGCTCGATGGGCCCATGGTGCCTCAGGCCATCGGGGCTGAGATGCCAGCTCTAAGTGGGCACGAGAGCCAGGGCTGGATGTAACCATGGGCAGCATCTCCCGGGATATCCATGATTGTGAGACGTGAGCTGCCATCAAGCAAGCTAAGCGGGTGCAGCCCCTCTGGTATGGGGGCCATGGTTCAAACAGAATATGGCGAGGCCTGGCAGATTGACTACATCACGCTGCCTCAAGCCCGCCAAGGCAAGTGCTACATGCTCCCAATGGTAGAAGCCACCACTGGATGGTTGGAGACCTACCCTGTGCCTCATGGAACTGCCCAGAACACCATGCTGGGCCTTGAAAAGCAGGTCCTTTGGAGGCACGGTACCTGTGAGAGAATTGAGTCCAACAAAGGGACTCATCTCAAGGACAGCCTGATCAACACCTGGGCTAGAGAACCTGGCACTGAGTGGGTATATCACATTCCCTACCGTGCACCAGCGGCCAGGAAAGGTCAGCAGTGCAATGAACTCTTCACAAACACATTGAAGGCAATGGGGGGATGGGACCCTCAGGCAGTGGGAGCTGCATTTAGCAAAGGCTGCATGGTTAGTTAATAGCAGAGATTCCACCAACCAAGCTGGCCATGCCCAATGCAAACCCCTGTGCACAGCGGGTGGGGACAAAGTTCTGGTGGTGCACATGAGAGGTGTGCTAGGAAAGACTGTTGGGATTCATTCTGCCTCGAGCAAAGACAAACCCACCTGTCTTTGCTCAGGGACTGGATTGGACTTGGTGGATGATGCAGAAAGATGGATCAACACAATGGACATCTCCAGGGGACCTTGTTTTTGGGGTGAATTGCCCAAAACACTGTGCCTGTATCCATATCTGCTTGTATGTATGTATGTATGTATATAATTGGGATAATGTATGGATGTATATAGTTTAAAAGTCAAAGTTTGATGTAACATGTTGGTATGGGAAAAATTCAGGGTGGAAAATGTTGTGTGTTTGGGGTGGTTTTTTGGGGAATTTTCTCTCCTTTGTTACCTGAAAAGGGGGACGTGGCAAGGAGAGGGCAGTTGATGCCTGTGGGGAATGAATTGCCTGTGGGGCAACTGAGATGCAAAAGAACTGGCCAATGACTCTCCCATTCCACTGGAAACTTCCAGGGAGGGAAGGCAGGGTTGGGCACTGGCCTGCCAAGGGAAGAACCAGCTGGCCATGCTAGGAGCAGGGCACTTTGGGCAGTTTTTGGTGATGGACCTGGCACTGCTTCAGGATTCTCCTTGACATCCATAGGTGAGCCCATTGGTTGCTGCAGCTGCTGGTTGATGGGGACTTTTCCACACTCACCATCACCAAGGAAGATCCTCACCATCTGCGTGGGTGCTTGAGGGGAAACGGGACCACCCCACCTATTCTCTCTCTCTCTGGAGAGAGGGAGCCCCAGGGGCTGCTTGGCTGGAACCAGAGCAGAGCTGCCATGGCCAGGATACTGCAAGAGCCAGGTGAGAAGCTGGGAAAAGCAGAGCCCCAGCTTCCCTGTGTCCCCGAGGCTGCTGTTCACCCCTGGGCTGGCTCAGGGCTCGCAGCCGTGGCCCCTGAAGCCGCCTGGGCCGACAGCGCCCCCTGGAGCCAGGGCAGAGTCACTGCAGCCACTCTGCCTGGCCTCAGCTCACAGCGCCCTCTGCCGGCTGTGGTCAGAACTACAGCAAAGGCAGAACTGCTCAACGGGTGGGAAGAGTCTGGCATTGCTTTGGGGGCGCTGCTGCTTCTTCTCTCTTCCTCACCTATATATATATATATATATATATATATGTATATTCTAGTGAAGAAGTGATATTTCTCTTCCCATATCTTTGCCTGGAAGCCCTGTAATTTCAAGTTATAATGATTTGGAGGGAGGGGGCTATCTCTCCATTCCAGGAAGATTCCCAGCTTCCTTGGAAGACACCTGTCTTTTAAACCAGGACAATCTGCAATCATTAATGGAGAAATTGACCTAGGAGGTAAAGGAACTCACAGATATTAGGCTCCAGCCCTTGCATAGGAATTGTTCCTGATCTTCACAAAACAGGGGCTTCTATGGCTTGAAGAATAGTCTTTGAATGATCTCTACAGCCCAGCTTTTACTTCCCTCAGAGTGCTCCTTCCCACAGTATGTCACACCAGTCTGGCACAGTTCCTGTGCAGGTGACATCCACTGCCACCAACAACAGGACCACTTTACTCACCACCAGTGAGAGGGAGTGTGGATCATTCCATTTTTTCCCACATAAGGTATGGATCAGAAGTCTCTGTTGTAAATCCTGCCAAATCTTTCTGAATAAGTACATACAAGCAAAGATGCCTTGCACAGGATCTACCTTCTTGGATCCCTGGTGATCAGTGGCACAGAGTCTAGCAGTGGACCCTGGAAGGACAATGCTGAGCCCAGTCCTTCCTGAGTGCTTTGTCAGTAAACTGGGTGAGGGGGCCAGGCTGTGCCCTCCCACAAACCAGGAGCAGTGGCTGATCTGCCAGAGACAAGTGCTGCCATGCAGAGGGACAGTTCAGCAAGGGGGACAGTCCAATGACAAGTGCTGAGTCCTGTCCTTGGCAGGGAACAACCACAGGCAGCGGTGACTGCTGGGGGCCACCCAGTTGGAAAACTGAAGTTTGTCCGGGTTCTGCTGGACACCAGGATGCCCATGGGCCAGCAATGTGCTCCTGCAGCAATGCAGAACAGCGTCCTGGGCTGCACTGGGAGCTGTGTCACAGCTGGCAGAGGGAGGGGATCCATTCCCTCTGCTCCACACCAGTGAGGCCAGCCCTGGAGTGCTGGGCCCAGAGCTGGGCTGCCCAGGACGGGACACAGGGACAGACTGGACAGAGTCCAGCACAGGGCCATGAAGCTGATGGAGGGACTGGAGCGTCTCTGCCATGAGCAGAGGCTGAGAGAGCTGGCCCTGCCCAGCCTGGAGCAGAGCAGGCTCAGGGCATCTCATCCCTGTGGATGAAAAGCCAGGGGGAGGCTGCAGAGGGGACAGGGCCAGGGACAGCCCCGGGGGCCTCGGGCACAAAGTGACCCACAGGAGGGGCCCTCCGAGCTCAGGAGACACTTCTGCACTGGGAGGGTGGCCGAGCACTGCCGCAGGTGCCCGGGGAGCTGGGGGAGTCTCCATCCCTGCAGAGACTCAAAAGCCACCTGGACACTTCCTGGGCAGCCGGCTCTGGGTGGCCCTGATGGAGCAGGGGCTGGGCCAGGTGACCTCCAGAGGTGCCTCCAGCCTCCCCCAGCCTGAGATTCTGTGACTCTGAGAACAAACAGGCTGCAGCTTCCTGAGGACAAATGAAAAAGCTCCACACATGGCAGGTTTCTCCTGCCCTCACCAAAGTGGTTCATGGCACATGTCTCCCTTCTGCAGATTCCTCCCTGGAGTCAGGATGCTCCTCAAGGTCACTCCTTGAGGCTGAGAGAAATGTTTGCCCATTATCATTGGTTTGGGTGAGTAGCATCAATCGTTAAGAATTGGTTATTGCTGGCTTGACAGAAATTGCTTCAATGTTGCTTCAAAATATAATGCACTATACTGGAAGTTAGAGGTCTCTGCACTGGGTAGTAAATAAGCCTGATACAGATTTATTAGTTTAATGGCAATCATAAGAAACTCTTTATTTTTCTATAAATATATCTTTCATCCTATGGAACACAGTTGTATAAAGGTTCAATTACACCTATACTATCCTTTAAACATAAACTACTGACTAAGTCTAAAACTACATCCAGCTGCAGCCTGGCTCCTCTCTGAGACGTTCAGGAAGCAAGGAGGTCCCTTCTGCACCTTGTGTCTCCTGCCTGCTCCCTGCACAGCTCTCCAGGTGGTGCTGTCGCTCCTGGGCCAGCTGTGACTGCAGCAGGGCCACCTGAAAGAGGCACAAGGCCCGGCTCAGACAAGCCCACGCTGGCAGGAGCACCTGCAGCCCCACGGTACCGGCTCTCGGGGCAGACACAGCCTCCAACTCCAGCCCTCACCAACACTCTGCCCTTGGGCAAGGGCAAAGGAACAGGCTCCCAGACACAACAGAGCTCAGAGCATCAACAAGTCCACTTCCAGGCTGCCAAACCCTTCCCACGTACATCCCTCAGCCACCACAGGTCTATTACACACACTTCCAATGGGATTTAGGAACCCAGCTCTGATTTCCAGAGCACACATTTGGGCCACTGACCCCTTTCTCCACAGGCCGTGCCTCAGTATGAGGGCTGCTGCTCCTCTGAGATACTGGAGGACTCTTCTATTTCAGACTCAGGGACAGGCAAGATAAAGTAGTCTGGGGGGAACACTCTCCTAAAAGTTCTGATTCTTCTCCTTTCAGGGTCCACCTGCACATTGGATGGGAGAGAGGGTCACAGAAACCTGTCAGCAAACATGGAGCAAAAGGACCTCTGGACATCAAGGCAAGGAGATCCCTGCTCTGAGACCCTGAAGTGCACCAGACAACAGTGGGGGCAAAAAGCTCTTGCTGGAGGCTGTGCAAGAGAGGCCAGTGTGTGTGTGCAGGGACACGGGGCCAGGGAGGGAGGCAGTGCAGTGAAGGTGCCCTTGTGAAAGCCATGGGCTGCCACAAGAGAGAGAACAAACAAAGGGGTGTGCCACAGCAGGGACAGGGAGAGGCAAGGCAACGAGCAGAGGTCTCCAAAGCACTGCCTGGCCTAAGGTGCCAAGTTCCAGAGGAGCCTGAGGCTCTGCAGAGGCAGCCAAAGCCCAATTTACCTGCTCACCACTTCTGGGCACAGTGGATAATTCAGGCCTCTCTCCCTTCTCCTTCTCTGCTGATGCAAGTGGTTCCTTAGATTCCAGACTGGTCCTTGAGCCACCTAACAGCTGCTCCTCTTGTGCTCCAACAGCCTGCTGGGTGTTCAGAGAGGAGATGATGCCCATATTTCAAACACCACAGAAGCTGTCCCTCAGAAATCTCAGTCTCAGGCAGCATCCTCAAAGCACCAGCAATGCAGCTGCTGTTCAGCCCTCTCAGTACAAAACTCAGCTGGGTTTAGTTCATCACTCTGCTCACCTGCTCCATTCCTTTGCACACAGAATCCGAACCCCCACGTGTTGCCTCCCCTTTTGTGGGCACAGGAGAAGCAGCTCCCCATGCCCAGCTTTGGCCTGGAGATGTTTGATCAGCATGTTCCTGCAAAGGCAGCCCAAGGTCAGGGAGCAAATTCTCCCTCTCCCAAACATGGTAGCATTCCACATGGAGCAGAGCACAATGTGGGAAACCAAGCCCAGGGGAAGAATGAGCCTTCAAGCAATGCCGAGGCCTTGAAACTCCTCTAACTCTTCTTTCCTGACACCACAGGCTTCTGTTCCAGAGGAGCCTGAGGCTCTGAAGAGGCAGCCAAAGCCCAATTTACCTGCTGGCCACATCTCCTGGGCACAGTGGATAATCCAGGCCTCTCTTTCTTCTCCTTCTCTGCTGATGCAAGTGGTTCCTTAGATTCCAGACTGGTCCTTGAGCCACCTAACAGCTGCTCCTCTTGTGCTCCAACAGCCTGCTGGGTGTTCAGAGAGGAGATGATGCCCATATTTCAAACACCACAGAAGCTGTCCCTCAGAAATCTCCGTCTCAGGCAGCATCCTCAAAGCACCAGCAGTGCAGCTGCTGTTCAGCCCTCTCAGTACAAAACTCATCTGGGTTTAGTTCATCACTCTGCTCAGCTGCTCCATTCCCTCCCATACGCAATTCCAAACCCCCATGTATTGCCTCTTCATGTGTGGGCACAGGAGAAGCAGCTCCCCATGCCCAGCTTTTGGCCTGGAGCTGCTTTGAACAGCAAGCTCCAGAGCTGGATCAGTCATTCTGGGTGTGCCAGGAATCAGTCTGGCAGTCAGTGGCCTCTGGCTGGAGCCAGGCAGACAGACAAGGCTCTTTACCCAAGCAGGCCTGCACTGACAGGGATAGAGACCCACCTCTTCAGGGGAAACATCACTTGAATACTTCAGGGACACTGGAGTGGACTGAAGGTCAACGTCTCGGCCTGCCTGGATACAAGTCTTTCCCTTCAGGGAGCCCAAGTGTTTCTTCAGAGACCCTCTGGCAATTTTACACTTGTTCAGTGCAGCACTCAGAGTGCTCCCTCTTCCTTCCTTCAAAGCAGCAGTCCCATGCTTCAACTCTTCCTGCATGGCTTGCTTTTCACTGTCTAAGTGTTGCATTCTCTCCTGCTGACTTTGCATGTTGAGTGCACGCATTTGATTCTTCTTTTCCATATATCTCATCTGCTGCTGGTACAATTCCCTTTCATGCTGCCAAAACAGGGAGAAAAAGGGTCACTCATTCCCTCTCTCACTTTGCTTTTCATACCAGATCTGGACTCCTCCTGCAGGGGCAGGCACAGACTGCCCCTCTCTCTCAGCCTCTCAGCATGCTGCAGAGCTTTGCTGGGCCCCCCTCCCCTTGATGCTGCATCTTTCCCAGCTCACTCAGCCCATCCCAGCTTCCCTTCTGCCCTTGCCTGACCTCCTGCAGCTCCACTCCAGGGCTCCTTTGGGGAGGAGCTGCCAGAACTGCAGCCAGGATTTCAAGTGCCCGCTAAGCGGGATTCAGGCAGTGCCACGAGGATGTGCTCTCCATCAGGGAGGAAGGGAAGAGCAAACAGCCACAGCCTTTCATTCCCTGGGGCTGGGCTGACAGCAGTGCTTTTCCACCTCTCCTGTGTAGAGTTCCCATGGCTCCATGCCCCAGAGCCCCACTGCCCTCTCTGGGAGCAGCAATGGCCAGATCAGTCTGTCATTCTCTGCTGCCACTCAGGACCAGTTCTCCCCTTGCAGGCACACGTCCTGCTGGGGATCAGACCTTGGCTTTCCTCTCCTCTCTCCCCACTGGCTGCTCTCCCATGGCCAAGGCCAAACACCTTTCTATTAACAGCAAACTTGGGACTCTCCCCCCTCCTTCCACATCCAGATATTTAGAAAGCTGAACATGGCATTGGACACCAGGAATTCCCCAAACCATGCAATGTCAATAGGGACACTGAGGACATTGAGAACTAAAGGTTCTAGAGCACAGAAGCCCAGCAGGGAGGAAAATCAGCAGCCTCAGCAATAACTGGCTTTGCCATGACTACAACATCTCCTCCTCCTTATTCAGAAGAATGCAATTAGAAAAGTTTAACTGGGAAAAGGTGCTCTTTAGAACTATGAGCACAAGGTCCAAACATAGCTAGGAAAGGGCCCTTTGTGGCATCTGCCAATCTCACCAGCACATCCTTCCTTTGCTTCTCCAGGATTTCTAATTTCTTCTTCAGAGATGCCACCTCCTGACGAAGAGCCACAGCCTCTTCCTGCCTTTCAGTGGCCTCTTTTTCCAGAGCAGATTCTCGAGAAATGTGCTTGACTTCCTCCTTCCACCAATCTGCAGCAGGAAAGGGGAAAGGAGAAGGAGAAAGAGGCAAGCAAAGCAAAGGCAAACTGATGTGCATCCTGCAGAGACAACAGCACTGTCTTCTCTACCTGCCTGTGTTTGCCAGGCACTAAGCCCACAAAGGCTCCAAAGCTGACAGAAATGAAGGAAACTTCCAGGCAGAGAAAAAGGCAGGAATGAAAGGAGCAAGGTTCAGAGGGATAGGAGAGTGTGTTTGTTCTTGTCCTTGTGCAGAGTGAGCAACTCAAGAGAGACAAAGCACAGGGGATGCCTGTGCAGCCCTGCTCCAGAGAGGCCAATAGCCTGGAGGCTCTGGCAGGGCCTGGAGTTTGGGGGAATGGAGCTGAGGCATCCAGCTACAGCTCCTCAGCTGGTGAGACAGCATGGGGCAGTGAGTGGGAGAGGAGAAGCTGTACCTTGCTCACTTTCATCCAACTCCTTCTGCAGCTCCAGATTGTGGGCTTTGAGGTTGTCTCTCTGAGCTTGTGTCTTCCTCAGCTCCAGCTCCACAGCCTCACACTGTATGGCCAAGGCAAGAGCTTTGTCATCAGAGCTCTGGAGCCTCACACGCAGCTCAGACACCTCAGCCTGCAGCACGTGCACAGAGTCCCTCAAAGAGCGTTCTCCTGCTCGAGACTCCTCCAGCTCCTTCAGCAGCTGCTTCTGTTGAGTTGCCTGGGAAGCCTCCATCTGCAGCACTGCGTCCTGCAGGGCCCGGATCTGGAAGATGGATGCACAGAGCCTCAGGGACAGGCCTGCTCCTGAGGCAGCAGAGTGGGCCGCAGGGAGAGCAACGAAGGAGAAATGACTTCAAGCCAAACCCAGAAGGCACAGAAGCAAGGATGCCAATGGAGACAAATGGAGAGAAAACAGGGAAAGGGAGGCAATGGGCATCCTTGGGCTGCAGCTCGGAACAGCGGCTGAACTGGCTGTGCTGGAAGTGCCCTGCCCAGCCTGCCACAGCCACCTCTGTGTCCCCACATTGCTCAGTGCCTGCCACAGGCACCAACTCTGTCTGGGACAACACTGCCAACAGAGGGACAGAGAAGCTCCAGAGGAGTCTGCTGCTGCTTCTCCTCCCACATTTCCTGCTGGGACCCGGGAGAAAATGGGGGAAAACTTCTGCAGCAGAGACCAGATCCAGCCTCAGCCTCAGGGTGCAGCAGCAGCCCCGGGCAGAACACGACAGCTGTGGATGCTGCTGGCAGGGGAAAGAGGCTGGGGCCTCCAAGGCAAAGGTGCTGTTGTGTGTCCCTGGAGAAGAGGATGCCACTGCACAGCTTACCTGTGTGTTGAGCTCCCGCAGTTGTCCAGCGCGGTTTGAGGAGAGCTGTTCGGCCTGCTGGAGAGCAGATTGACACTGAGACACCTGATTGTTCAGTGCCGAGTTCTGCTCTTCCAGCGTTCTGAGGCACACATTCTTTTCTTCAAGAGACAGAATCAGCCTAGAAGGAAAGCAAGCAACTCATTACTAAATGGTATCACATTTTATCAACTCTTAGGACTCACACCACCTCAGGGGGAAACTGCTCTGCCTGATGAGGTTTCTCTCAACAACTTGGCTGTTTAGACTTGACTGTTCCCCCTGCAGTCCCTGACCAGCATGTGCCTACTCTGCTTTTGTCCCAGAATGAACAGTGAGTTCCTGCCTCCATGCCATACGTTCTTTCTGAGCTGGGAATGTGAATACAAACCTAACAAAGTCTTGCAATGAAGACATTAGGGGAGAGGAACAATTTTCTTCTGACTAACCAGGCTCCAAAGCAGGGAGGTTTGGTCAGCATGGAAGAGACATTTCCTTTCCCCATCTTACACATCCAGGTAGGAGGAGCAGCACCCTAGAGCCAGGGAATCTCTGGCAAGTTCCCGAAGATTTACCAGCACCCATCCTACTTTCAGCTGGAGAAACAAAGGCAAAAAGGGCAACTGAGGCTTGGAGCACAACCTGATGGAAGATGCAGAAGGCTCCAGGCAAGCAGGAGTGCCCTGCCTTTGCTTTGTCTTCTTCTTGGAGGAAGAATCCTGTGGCACTGAAGCCTGGCAGGATTTGATCAGCTACATGAGCCCCCCATAGCTTGGTCCTGTTCCTTGCATTCTTTGCACAGTCAGAAATGCCTGTGACTGTGCAGGGTGGCAGGGACCCTGCTTGACCCCCTGCAGGCAGCGGGGGACATTGGATGAGGAACCATGCAACAGAGACATTCTTGTTTCTGGGCTGCCTCCAAGGCCCAGCTGGCCTAGAGCAGCACTCAGGGCCTTAAGATGGTTCTGCCCAGAAAAAGCATCAGATGCCAGGCTGATCCAGATCCCAAAGGCTTCAAGTTACAGGATCCAAGGTAGAGCTGATGGATGTATGCAGCTCCTTACAGCGCACCTCGGGCAGTGTCAACACACCCACCTAACAACACAATGACCCCTAGAGGGAAAGGGCTACCCCCAAAGCCTTTATCTTCAGAAGAACTCTATCTGAGGGCTTAAAAGAAAAGAAAGTGAAACTCAACATCCAGACAATGAGAAGTGTCTGCACGGAGAGTTAAAATCAGCCACTTAAAAAATGCTGCCAGAGTCCCTGGCAGGTGCAAAGATGGCAAAGAGGGAATCCATTCAGCACAATGCAGAGTCCCACAGGCTTTCATTTACCTGGCCTTTTCCTTCTCTAGAGCATTGACAGAAGCCTGCAATTCTGAATTTTGCGGTGCCACTTCTTCCCATTGACTCCTTTCCCTCTCCAAGTTCTGCAGATGCACTTGAAGCTCCTTGTTCTGATGTTGTGCCTCCTCCAGCAGCTTCTGGGTCTGCTCAAGCTCCAACAGCTTCTGCCTGGACTCTTCCTGGGCCTCCCTCACATCTTGCTGGGCTCTCTGTGCAGTCCTTTCCTGGCACTCTTGGGAGGCTGCCAGCTGAGATGTCAACTCTGCCACCTCCAGTCAAACAGAACAAAGCAGTCAGAGGCTACAGCCACAGCTTCTCACACTCAGCCACAGCACAGGCTGTGAGCAAAGGTAAAGGACAACTTTCCACTCCTCCCTGTCCTGAGAGCACCAGATTCACAAAGGACATGGACAACTTGTTTCAGTCTCTATGTGGCCCACCCGCAAGGGCACCTGAGAAAGCACCTGCCAAAGCAAGGCCAGCAAGAAGAGGCCAGCAGGAATCCATGCTGCTGCTTGCTGGCCAGCAGCACAGAGGACTAGCCCAGCTGTCCAGAGCAGCAGCTGACATTCAGCAGAGCCCTGAGTGTCCTTCAGAGCAGCTGCCATGGAGCCCCCAGAGCACGAGACAGCCCCAGGGCTCACCCCAGCAGCTGCTGCTCTGCCATGGAAAAGCAAGAAGGCCACAGACCCCTCGCTGCATGACTGCAGTGCCACTGCTCTTTCACTCACCTGCTTTTCTAGAGCCTCCCTCTGCTCAAGGAGGAGATTCCTTTCCTCTTTGAGGCCTTGTAGCTCTTCCTCGTGCCTCCTCTGAGCTGCCTGGGCTTCTCTGCGAGCTCCCTGCAGCTCATCTTGCAGATTTGCCTTGATGGTCTGGCAACAAAACACAGAGCAACTTCCTTGGACCTGCCCTCAGGCTCAGCTTTTTCCACTTGCTGCCTCAAAATGCCATTCCCTCAGCTGCTTCTTTTGGCTGCTCTACCCAGCTCTGCTTCCACTGCAAGCCTTCCTTCCTGGGGCTGAGCTCTGGAGCTTACCAGGCTCTGTGCTCCCAGGGCCTGAAGCAGCCCTTGCTTCCTCAGTCCCAGGAGCTGCCTTTTGTGCCCTTGTCACTGCCCTGCCCTCTGTTGCCTGCCTACTCACACTTACCTGCCCCTTCTCCTGCTGCTCTGTCACCTCCTGCCTGAGCTGCTGCACCTGCTGGCGGGCTCGGCTGAGCTCTCCCTGAGTTTGGAGCAGTGCCTCTGATAAAGCATTCTTCTCCTTCTGCTCTTCCAGCAGGACCTGCACAGGAGGAAAGAGCAGAGGGCTTCACGCTCCTCCTGCAGCATCCGTGTGGCAATGGGCAAAGACTGATGGGCTCACGTGCTCTCAGAGCACTTGGCTGCTGCTCCCCTGGGCCACTGCCTGCCCTGGGGGAGACACAGCTCCCAGGAAGTAACTTAAAACACAGCCCAGAAGACATCTCTGCGTTACTGTTCAGAAATACTCCAGGCAAGCCTGGAAAGATTTTTCTCTTGTCAGCGTTCCTGCTGCACCCTTCCCATGCCCACAAAAGAAAAGTCCTACAAACTCACCTTGGCCATGAACATCTACCAGTACACACCAAAAGGGCAGCAGAAGGAGAACAGTGAAGATACCCTGAGGTGCATCTTAGAACAACAGAGCACAAGAGCAGCACAAAAATCTCAGCTGACAGCTGATGTTTCTGCCTGGCTTCCTATGAGAGGGCTCATTCCTGGGGCCAAAGACAGCCCCGTTCAGCTTTCACCTCCCCTAATTCAATGCAGGAGACACAGAGGGCATGCTCCACACAGCCCCATATCCTGCCATCTCTCACAGCTCCAGCCTTGCAAAAAATCACACCAGCTCTCCTCTCACAATCATTACCTCTTGCTTGGCATTCTCAAATCTCTTTAGCTCTTCTTGTTGGGCCAGCAGGGTGGCAACTTTCTGCCTCATCTCAAACAGCACCTTCTTGTGCTCCTGCTCTCTCTCTGCCTTCTCTTTTTCCCATTGCTCCAGCGTCTCCTCCATCTCTGCACGGTGCCTTTCACGCTCACTTGCCTGAGGAGGGGAGGAAAAATTTGCAAGATGAAGCCCCAGGCAAGCTCCTGGCTGAAAGATGTGAAGCTCCATCCCTCCCACAACCCCCAACTGGAAAAGACAACAGCACTGGCTTTCTGCACTCCAGAAGCTGTGTCCTGTCAGGGAATTCAAAAGGAGGCTCAGCAGGTGCAAGAATCACAGACTTGTGGAATCTCTTCTGCTGGCAAAGACCTTCCCAAGCACCGAGTCCAAGCACTCAGAGGAGGAGGTGTCACCTTCCCCTCTCTGATGCCCCAGTCACAAGGACTGAAGGACCAGGAACAAGGGGCCTGTTCCATTTGCTTCCAGCCCAAAGCTAATCCCTCTGTCCACCATGGAAGCACAGGGAGAAAGGAAACGAGTTCCCACGCCTGCAGCCAGCAGCACTGTTGGCATCTGCTCCACGCTGGCATCTGCTCCACGCTGGCATCTGCTCTGTGGCAGGTGGCACTCGGGGATGATCCTGCCCTGGGCTGCCACGCTTTGGGTGGGCACTGCCCAACCTGCTCTGGAACTCCTCTTACACCCTCACTGAAGCCATGGCTGCCTTTACTGTCCCAGCACCATCCTGGGGGCCTTCACACTCCTCCAAGTCTCAGCTGCTGGCTCTGCTGCCCGGCCCAGCAGCGGGAGGCCTCTGGCAGAGGATTGCTGCCCTTTCACACCCTCAGCCTCTGCTTGTGCTGCACCAACCCACAGGGCTGGCTTGGACAATTCAGAAGCATATTGTCCCCTACCAGGTCTTGCAGGAGCTTCTTTATTTCCAGTTGCTGAGCAGTTCCCTGAAGCCTGAGGCTTTCCTGAGGCTGCTGCTCTGCCTGCAAGAGCTGTTGAGCTGTGTCTTCCTGTTCCTGCCTCCTGAGAGCTCTCGCTGCTTCCAGCTCACCTTGCAGGCACTTCACTTCTCCTGCAAACATGACCAACAGCAAGATTCACATTCTTGACTGACTTTACTGACCACAAGCCCTTTCAGTGCCTCCAGCCCTACCATTCCTCAGAAGTTCTGTGGACAGAGACAGCTTTACAGGGTGCTCAGCTTCTCTAGTCAGGGGCAGCAGCACAAACAAAGCACACAAGGTTCTCACCTTCTATCACCACTTTGTCCTGTGTGACTGTGAGCACTCGAGCTTCCAGATGGTTCCTGGTGATCTCCAGCTGTGATATCTGCTGCTGAGCAGCAAACAGCCTGGATTGCAGGCTCTCCTTTGCTGACCTACAAGTTGCAAAGATGGACAGACGTGAGTTGCTTGCTCCAGACACCCACAGCCGGTTATTCCAGGACGACGTGGCTCAAGATCCCCACGCCTGAGGATGGAAAATGGCTCCGCTGGAAACTCCTCCTGAGAAGGCACATCTGGGCCATTTCCAGAGCAGAGCAGGGCCTCTGAGGGACTGCCCAGGCCTTCCTTATGGCCTGCCCTAGCACAGGCAGCCCAGCCCAACTTGGCCTCAACAGCCAAACCTTCACTTGCTGCTCCTGACCTATGACTCTGGGTAGCTGTGCCCAAACAGGCTGGAGCAACAAGCAAAAGCCCAGCCCCTGCTCACAGCCCTTCTCTCAGCAGCACTTCCAAGCTGCTCTGCAGGGGGACAGAACAGACTCTTGTCCTGGCTGACTCCTGACTTTTTAATGCTCTTGATAATGGACATAAAGGTACATCATCTTCCAGACACCCGGGATTTAACGAGGCTTCAGAACTACTTTGCAGATACAGTAAAATCTCATGGTCATGGCAGCACCTGTGAAAAATCAGATCACCCTTTTTTCCGAGCAACAACTACCTCGATGCAGAGACTGCAGTTTCAACTCTTGCAAGGTCCAGGAGTAGACTTGCTGCCTTTATTTGAGTGTTGCTGAACAAGCAGGCAGTAGCCCAAGGGACTTGTCCTTCTTTACACAGTGAGAGGGACCATGCAAAGGCACCTTGGCAGGTTTGGCAGCTGGGTGCCCACCAACAATCAGCAAGAATGCCCAGAGGCTGTTGAGAATTCCAAAGAGCTTTCCCTGCTGCTCTCTAACCAGCTCTAGGTCTTGTCCCACACTTCTCAAGAGTGTGCTTGGAAGCAGAAATGCCTCAAGATGGTCAGCAGGAGCATCTGGCTTCACCCTGAATGGCAGCGTGCTACTCCCAATGTGCCAAGGTAAGAGCCTGGAATGCTGAAGATGAGGCTTCCTGGTCTGAAGGTCAGGATCATGTCAAGCTACACAGAAGGAACGAGGGATGTTCAATGCCCAGAACGAGGAACCAAACCCAAGAGAAACTTGAGGTTTCACTCAGCATCTGCATGGTTTAACTACTCCTCAGTTCAGGGCTGGCTGGATTGCTTTTGACATCCCACAGGAGTGTGCTCGGTGGCACAAACAGGAGCCCAAGGCTCACGAGAGCTTTGCTGGCTTCACATGACAGAAAAACAACCCTCACATTGTGGCTTTTTTTTTTTTTCCCTGAGACTCTTCCATATTGTGTCCACGGAATGTAAAACCATCTGAAAAGTTTCAACTCCCTGCCTTTACCTGGTCTCCTCCAGCTGCCTGGCAAGGTCTTGTCGGAGCCACTCGGTGGCTGCCAGTCGGCCCTCAAGGTCAGCCTTCTGGGCCAGCAGCTCCTCCTCTCGCCACGCCTGGGCCACTTCATGTCCTTGGCCAGAGGATTCCTGGCTGAGCTGCTCCAGACACCAGCTCGATGACTCTTCTTCCTTGGAAACCTGCAAGTGGGACAAGGTACAGCTGGAGCCCTTCCTCGGGAGCCCTGTGCAGAGCCAGCCAGTGCCACCTCACAGGCAGCCAGAGGACAAGGAGCACCTGTGCCCTGGCCTCAAAGTTTCACAGCATCTGCCCCATGCAGCTCTGATAGCCTGGCCTGCCAAAAGCCTCTGGCACTGTTCCCTTGGAAGTGCTGTGGCAGGCCCTGCTGCCTTGCCTGGGCCCAGACAGCTCCTTCCCAACAAACATCCCTACTGCAAACTCTGTGTTGTCACCCAAAACCACTGCATCTTCCATAACTGCCAATATAATTGACTCTAAGCACCAGCTGTGCTGAACATTTTCAGCCATTACTCCAAAACTCAACTGGCATTAGTCCATCACTCTGCTCACCGGCTCCATTCCTTCCCACACCCAATCCAAACCCCCATGTGTTGCCTCTTCATGTGTGGGCACAGGAGAAGCAGCTCCCCATGCCCAGCTTTTGGCCTGGAGCTGCTTTGAACAGCAAGCTCCAGAGCTGGATCAGTCATTCTGGGTGTGCCAGGAATCAGTCTGGCAGTCAGTGGCCTCTGGCTGGAGCCAGGCAGACAGACAAGGCTCTTTACCCAAGCAGGCCTGCACTGACAGGGATAGAGACCCACCTCTTCATGGGAAAAATCACTTGAATAATTCAGGGACACTGGAGTGGACTGAAGGACAATGCCAGTGTCTGCCGGGATCTTTTCCTGCAGGATATCCAAGTGTTGCTTCAGAACCCCTTTGGCCAGTTCACTCTTGTTCAGTGCAGCACTCAGTACTTGAGTCTTGTCCCTCGATTTCTTCAAAGCAGCAGCCTCATGCTCCAAATCTTCTTGAAACTCTTCCCTCTCCACTTGTAATTCTTGATTATTTCCCTTATGATTGCTCATCTCAGGTGCATGCATTTGATTCTTCTTTTCCAGATATCTCATCTGCTGCTGGTACAATTCCCTTTCATGCTGCCAAAACAGGGAGAAAAAGGGTCACTCATTCCCTCTCTTGCTTTGCTTTTCATACCAGATCTGGACTCCTCCTGCAGGGGCAGGCACAGGCTGCCCCTCTCTCTCAGCCTCTCAGCATGCTGCAGAGCTTTGCTGGGCCCCCCTCCCCTTGATGCTGCATCTTTCCCAGCTCACTCAGCCCATCCCAGCTTCCCTTCTGCCCTTGCCTGACCTCCTGCAGCTCCACTCCAGGGCTCCTTTGGGGAGGAGCTGCCAGAACTGCAGCCAGGATTTCAACCCTGCTAAGCGGGATTCAGGCAGTGCCACGAGGATGTGCTCTCCATCAGGGAGGAAGGAAAGAGCAAACAGCCGCAGCCTTTCATTCCCTGGGGCTGGGCTGACAGCAGTGCTTTTCCACCTCTCCTGTGTAGAGTTCCCATGGCTCCATGCCCCAGAGCCCCACTGCCCTCTCTGGGAGCAGCAATGGCCAGATCAGTCTGTCATTCTCTGCTGCCACTCAGGACCAGTTCTCCCCTTGCAGGCACACGTCCTGCTGGGGATCAGACCTTGGCTTTCCTCTCCTCTCTCCCCACTGGCTGCTCTCCCATGGCCAAGGCCAAACACCTTTCTATTAACAGCAAACTTTGTGTTCTCCTCCCTCTTTCCACATCCAGATATTTAGAAAGCTGAACATGGCATTGGACACCAGGAATTCCCCAAACCATGCAATGTCAATAGGGACACTGAGGACATTGAGAACTAAAGGTTCTAGAGCACAGAAGCCCAGCAGGGAGGATAATCAGCAGCCTCAGCAATAACTGGCTTTGCCATGACTACAACATCTTCTCCTCTTTTTTCAGAAAAATGAAATTGGAAAAGTTAAAATGGAAAAGGATGCTTCTTAGAAATATGGACACAAGGCCTAACCCTAGGTATAAAATGGCGCTCTGTGGCATCTGCCAATCTCACCAGCACATCCTTCCTTTCCTCCTGCAGGCTCTGCAATTCATTCTCCAGAGAATGACGAAGAACCACATCCTCTTCCTTCACAGCAATGGCATCTTTCTTCTGGGAATTTTCTAGAGAGATTTTCTGGTGTTCTGCCCTCAACATTGCTGGAGGAAGGAAGGGGAAGGAGGAGGGGAAAAGAAAAGTCAAGTTAAACTGATGTGCATCCTGCAGAGACAACAGCACTGTCTTCTCTACCTGCCTGTGTTTGCCAGGCCCTAAGCCCACAAAGGCTCCAAAGCTGACAGAAATGAAGGAAACTTCCGGGCAGAGAAAAAGGCAGGAATGAAAGGGGCAAGGATAAGAGGGATAGAAAAGTGTGTTTGCTCTTGGCCTTGTGCAGAGTGAGCAATCTAAGAGAGACAAAGCACAGGGGATGCCTGTGCAGCCCTGCTCCAGAGAGGCCAATAGCCTGGAGGCTCTGGCAGGGCCTGGAGTTTGGGGGGAATGGAGCTGAGGCATCCAGCTACAGCTCCTTAGCACAGACACGGAGCCTGAGAGGCACCAGCTGTGCACAGGATCAGCCCTAGCACAGCCAGAGGGCACTGCCAGCCACAGCACCTTTCTCAAGAGAAAGCTTTCACTGGCACGTGGATGGAGAAATCTCCTGCTGGCTGTTTCTCTCTTCTGCCATCTCTGGGCACTTTTCCTCTGCAAGGCATCAGTGAGATCCCCACAGGTCAGACAGCATGGGGCAGTGGATGGGAGAGGAGAAGCTGTACCTTGCTCACTTTGCTCCAGCTGTTTCAGCAGCTCCTTATTGCGAGCCCTGAGATTGTCTCTCTGAGCCTGTCTCTTCCTCAGCTCCAGCTCCACGGCCTTACACTGTGTGGCAATGTCCACTGAGATTTCCTCAGAGCTCTGGAGCCTCACACGCAGCTCAGACTCCTCAGTTTCCAATTGCTTCTGTCGAGTTTCCAAGAAAGCTGCCTTCTCCTTCACTGCCTCCAGCAGGGCCCAGGCCTGGAAGATGGATGCACAGAGCCTCAGGGACAGGCCTGCTCCTGAGGCTGCACAGCGGGCCACAGGGAGAGCAACGAAGGAGAAATGACTTCAAGCCAAACCCAGAAGGCACAGAAGCAAGGATGCCAATGGAGACAAATGGAGAGAAAACAGGGAAAGGGAGGCAATGGGCATCCTTGGGCTGCAGCTCGGAACAGCGGCTGAACTGGCTGTGCTGGAAGTGCCCTGCCCAGCCTGCCACAGCCACCTCTGTGTCCCCACATTGCTCAGTGCCTGGCACAGGCACCAACTCTGTCTGGGACAACACTGCCAACAGAGGGACAGAGAAGCTCCAGAGGAGTCTGCTGCTGCTTCTCCTCCCACATTTCCTGCTGGGACCCGGGAGAGGATGGGGGAAAACTTCTGCAGCTGACACCAGATCCAGCCTCAGCCTCAGGGTGCAGCAGCAGCCCCGGGCAGAACACGACAGCTGTGGATGCTGCTGGCAGGGGAAAGAGGCTGGGGCCTCCAAGGCAAAGGTGCTGTTGTGTGTCCCTGGAGAAGAGGATGCCACTGCACAGCTTACCTGTGTGTTGAGCCCCAGCAGTTCTCTTCTATGCTCAGAATAGAGCTGCTCTGTCTCCTGAAGAGCAGATTGACACTGAGACACCTGATTGTTCAGTGCCAAGTTCTGCTCTTCCAGTGTCCTGAGGCACACCTTCTTTTCTTCAAGAGACAGAATCAGCCTAGAAGGAAAGCAAGCAACTCATTACTAAATGATATCACCTTTTATCAACTCTTAGGACTCACACCACCTCAGGGGGAAACTGCTCTGCCTGATGAGGTTTCTCTAGACAACTTGGCTGTTTAGACTTGACTGTTCCCCCTGCAGTCCCTGACCAGCATGTGCCTACTCTGCTTTTGTCCCAGAATGAACAGCGAGTTCCTGCCTCCATGCCATACGTTCTTTCTGAGCTGGGAATGTGAATACAAACCTAACAAAGTCTTGCAATGAAGACATTAGGGGAGAGGAACAATTTTCTTCTGACTAACCAGGCTCCAAAGCAGGGAGGCTTGGTCAGCATGGAAGAGACATTTCCTTCCCCCATCTTACACATCCAGGTAGCAGGAGCAGCACCCTAGAGCCAGGGAATCTCTGGCAAGTTCCCGAAGATTTACCAGCACCCATCCTACTTTCAGCTGGAGAAACAAAGGCCAAAAGGGCAACTGAGGCTTGGAGCACAAACTGATGGAAGATGCAGAAGGCTCCAGGCAAGCAGGAGTGCCCTGCCTTTGCTTTGTCTTCTTCTTGGAGGAAGAATCCTGTGGCACTGAAGCCTGGCAGGATTTGATCAGCTACATGAGCCCCCCATAGCTTGGTCCTGTTCCTTGCATTCTTTGCACAGTCAGAAATGCCTGTGACTGTGCAGGGTGGCAGGGACCCTGCTTGACCCCCTGCAGGCAGCGGGGGACATTGGATGAGGAACCATGCAACAGAGACATTCTTGTTTCTGGGCTGCCTCCAAGGCCAAGCTGGCCTAGAGCAGCACTCAGGGCCTTAAGATGGTTCTGCCCAGAAAAAGCATCAGATGCCAGGCTGATCCAGACCCCAAAGGCTTCAAGTTACAGGATCCAAGGTAGAGCTGATGGATGTATGCAGCTCCTTACAGTGCACCTCGGGCAGTGTCAACACACCCACCTAACCACACAATAACCCCTAGAGGGAAAGGGCTTCCCCAGAAGACTTTGTCTTCAGAAAAACTCTATCTGAAGGCTTGAAAGAAAAGAAAATGAAACTCAGCATTCAGATAATGAGACGTGTCTGCACGGGGAGTGCAGAACCTGCCATGTAGGAAATGCTGCCAGAGCCCCTGGCGGGTGCAAAGATGGCAAAGAGGGAATCCATTCAGCACAATGCAGAGTCCCACAGGCTTTCATTTACCTGGCCTTTTCCTTCTCTAGGGCATTGACAGAAGCCTGCAATTCTGAATTTTGCTGTGCCACTTCTTCCCATTGAATCCATTCCCTCTCCAAGTACTCCAGATGCACTTGCAGCTCCTTGTTCTGATGTTGTGCCTCCTCCAGCATCTTCTGGATCTTCTCAAGCTCCAACAGCTTCTGCCTGGACTCTTCCTGTGTCTCCCTCCCATCTTGCTGGGCTCTCTGTGCAGTCCTTTCCTGGCACTCTTGGGAGGCTGCCAGCTGAGATGTCAACTCTGCCACCTCCAGTCAAACAGAACAAAGCAGTCAGAGGCTACAGCCACAGCTTCTCACACTCAGCCACAGCACAGGCTGTGAGCAAAGGTAAAGGACAACTTTCCACTCCTCCCTGTCCTGAGAGCACCACATTCACAAAGGACATGGACAACTTGTTTCAGTCTCTACGTGGCCCACCCGCAAGGGCACCTGAGAAAGCACCTGCCAAAGCAAGGCTAGCAAGAAGAGGCCAGCAGGAATCCATGCTGCTGCTTGCTGGCCAGCAGCACAGAGGACTAGCCCAGCTGTCCAGAGCAGCAGCTGACATTCAGCAGAGCCCTGAGTGTCCTTCAGAGCAGCTGCCATGGAGCCCCCAGACAATGAGACAGCCCCAGGGCTCACCCCAGCAGCTGCTGCTCTGCCATGGAAAAGCAAGAAGGCCACAGACCCCTCGCTGCATGACTGCAGTGCCACTGCTCTTTCACTCACCTGCTTTTCTAGAGCCTCCCTCTGCTCAAGGAGGAGATTCCTTTCCTCTTTGAGGCCTTGTAGCTCTTCCTTGTGCCTCCTCTGCGCTGCCTGGGCTTCTCTGCGAGCTCCCTGCAGCTCCCCTTGCAGCTCTGCCTCCACACGCTTCCAGGTCATCTCCAGCTGAGCCATCTGCTGCTGAGCAGCAAACAGCCTGGATTGCAGGCTCTCCTTTGCTGACCTACAAGTTGCAAAGATGGACAGACATGAGTTGCTTGCTCCAGACACCCACAGCCGGTTATTCCAGGACGACGTGGCTCAAGATCCCCACGCCTGAGGATGGAAAATGGCTCCGCTGGAAACTCCTCCTGAGAAGGCACATCTGGGCCATTTCCAGAGCAGAGCAGGGCCTCTGAGGGACTGCCCAGGCCTTCCTTATGGCCTGCCCTAGCACAGGCAGCCCAGCCCAACTTGGCCTCAACAGCCAAACCTTCACTTGCTGTTTCTGACCTATGACTCTGGGTAGCTGTGCCCAAACAGGCTGGAGCAACAAGCAAAAGCCCAGCCCCTGCTCACAGCCCTTCTCTCAGCAGCACTTCCAAGCTGCTCTGCAGGGGGACAGAACAGACTCTTGTCCTGGCTAACTCCTGACTTTTTAATGCTCTTGATAATGGACAGAAAGGTACATCATCTTCCAGACACCCGGGATTTAACGAGGCTTCAGAACTACTTTGCAGATACAGTAAAATCTCATGGTCATGGCAGCACCTGTGAAAAATCAGATCACCCTTTTGTCTGAGCAACAACTACCTCGATGCAGAGACTGCAGTTTCAACTCTTGCAAGGTCCAGGAGTAGACTTGCTGCCTTTATTTGAGTGTTGCTGAACAAGCAGGCAGTAGCCCAAGGGACTTGTCCTTCTTTACAAAGTGAGAGGAACCATGCAAAGGCACCTTTGCAGGTTTGGTAGCTGGGTGCCCACCAACAATCAGCAAGAATGCCCAGAGGCTGTTGAGAATTCCAAAGAGCTTTCCCTGCTGCTCTCTAACCAGCTCTACATCCTGTCCCACACTTCTCAAGGGTGTGCTTGGAAGCAGAAATGCCTCAAGATGGTCAGCAGGAGCCTCTGGCTTCACCCTGAATGGCAGCGTGCTACTCCCAATGTGCCAAGGTAAGAGCCTGGAATGCTGAAGATGAGGCTTCCTGGTCTGAAGATCAGGATCATGTCAAGCGACTCAGAAAGGAACGAGGGATGTTCAATGCCCAGAACGAGGAACCAAACCCAAGAGAAACTTGAGGTTTCACTCAGCATCTGCATGGTTCAACTACTCCTCAGTTCAGGGCTGGCTGGATTGCTTTTGACATCCCACAGGAGTGTGCTCGGTGGCACAAACAGGAGCCCAAGGCTGACGAGAGCTTTGCTGGCTTTCGGTGCAAGAAAAACAACCTTCACATTGTGGCATTTATATTTTTTCCTTGAGACACTTCCACATTGTGTCCACGGAATGTAAAACCATCTGAAAAGTTTCAACTCCCGGCCTTTACCTGGTCTCCTCCAGCTGCCTGGCAAGGTCTTGTCGGAGCCACTCGGTGGCTGCCAGTCGGCCCTCAAGGTCAGCCTTCTGGGCCAGCAGCTCCTCCTCTCGCCACGCCTGGGCCACTTCATGCCCTTGGCCAGAGGATTCCTGGCTCAGCAGCTCCAGAGACCAGCTCGATGACTCTTCTTCCTCGGAAACCTGCAAGTGGGACAAGGTACAGCTGGAGCCCTTCCTCGGGAGCCCTGTGCAGAGCCAGCCAGTGCCACCTCACAGGCAGCCAGAGGACAAGGAGCACCTGTGCCCTGGCCTCAAAGTTTCACAGCATCTGCCCCATGCAGCTCTGATAGCCTGGCCTGCCAAAAGCCTCTGGCACTGTTCCCTTGGAAGTGCTGTGGCAGGCCCTGCTGCCTTGCCCGGGCCCAGACAGCTCCTTCCCAACAAACATCCCTACTGCAAACTCTGTGTTGTCACCCAAAACCACTGCATCTTCCATAACTGCCAATATAATTGACTCTAAGCACCAGCTGTGCTGAACATTTTCAGCCATTACTCCAAAACTCAACTGGCATTTGTCCATCACTCTGCTCACCGGCTCCATTCCTTCCCACACCCAATCCAAACCCCCATGTGTTGCCTCTTCATGTGTGGGCACAGGAGAAGCAGCTCCCCATGCCCAGCTTTTGGCCTGGAGCTGCTTTGAACAGCAAGCTCCAGAGCTGGATCAGTCATTCTGGGTGTGCCAGGAATCAGTCTGGCAGTCAGTGGCCTCTGGCTGGAGCCAGGCAGACAGACAAGGCTCTTTACCCAAGCAGGCCTGCACTGACAGGGATAGAGACCCACCTCTTCATGGGAAAAATCACTTGAATAATTCAGGGACACTGGAGTGGACTGAAGGTCAAGTTCTCTGCCTGCCTGGATACAAATCTTTCCCTTCAGGGAGCCCAAGTGTTGCTTCAGAGCCCCTCTGGCAAGTTCACTCTTGTTCAGTGCAGCACTCAGTACTTGAGTCTTGTCCCTCGATTTCTTCAAAGCAGCAGCCCCATGCTCCAAATCTTCTTGCAACTCTTCCCTCTCCACTTGTAATTCTTGATTATTTCCCTTATGATTGCTCATCTCAGGTGCATGCATTTGATTCTTCTTTTCCAGATATCTCATCTGCTGCTGGTACAATTCCCTTTCATGCTGCCAAAACAGGGAGAAAAAGGATCACTCATTCCCTCTCTTGCTTTGCTTTTCATACCAGATCTGGACTCCTCCTGCAGGGGCAGGCACAGGCTGCCCCTCTCTCTCAGCCTCTCAGCATGCTGCAGAGCTTTGCTGGGCCCCCCTCCCCTTGATGCTGCATCTTTCCCAGCTCACTCAGCCCATCCCAGCTTCCCTTCTGCCCTTGCCTGACCTCCTGCAGCTCCACTCCAGGGCTCCTTTGGGGAGGAGCTGCCAGAACTGCAGCCAGGATTTCAAGTGCCCGCTAAGCGGGATTCAGGCAGTGCCACGAGGATGTGCTCTCCATCAGGGAGGAAGGGAAGAGCAAACAGCCACAGCCTTTCATTCCCTGGGGCTGGGCTGACAGCAGTGCTTTTCCACCTCTCCTGTGTAGAGTTCCCATGGCTCCATGCCCCAGAGCCCCACTGCCCTCTCTGGGAGCAGCAATGGCCAGATCAGTCTGTCATTCTCTGCTGCCACTCAGGACCAGTTCTCCCCTTGCAGGCACACGTCCTGCTGGGGATCAGACCTTGGCTTTCCTCTCCTCTCTCCCCACTGGCTGCTCTCCCATGGCCAAGGCCAAACACCTTTCTATTAACAGCAAACTTTGTGTTCTCCTCCCTCTTTCCACATCCAGATATTTAGAAAGCTGAACATGGCATTGGACACCAGGAATTCCCCAAACCATGCAATGTCAATAGGGACACTGAGGACATTGAGAACTAAAGGTTCTAGAGCACAGAAGCCCAGCAGGGAGGATAATCAGCAGCCTCAGCAATAACTGGCTTTGCCATGACTACAACATCTCCTCCTCCTTATTCAGTAGAATGCAATTAGAAAAGTTTAACTGGGAAAAGGTGCTCTTTAGAACTATGAGCACAAGGTCCAAACATAGCTAGGAAAGGGCCCTTTGTGGCATCTGCCAATCTCACCAGCACATCCTTCCTTTCCTTCTCCAGGTCCTCTAAATTCCTTTGCAAAGAGGGACAAAGAGTCAAAACATCTTCCTTCAGGGCAATGGCGTCTTGCTTCTGGGAATTTTCATGAGAGATTTTCTGGTGTTCTGCCCTCAACATTGCTGGAGGAGGGAAGGGGAAGGAGGAGGGGAAAAGAAAAGTCAAGTTAAACTGATGTGCATCCTGCAGAGACAACAGCACTGTCTTCTCTACCTGCCTGTGGTTGCCAGGCCCTAAGCCCACAAAGGCTCCAAAGCTGACAGAAATGAAGGAAACTTCCGGGCAGAGAAAAAGGCAGGAATGAAAGGGGCAAGGATAAGAGGGATAGAAAAGTGTGTTTGCTCTTGGCCTTGTGCAGAGTGAGCAATCTAAGAGAGACAAAGCACAGGGGATGCCTGTGCAGCCCTGCTCCAGAGAGGCCAATAGCCTGGAGGCTCTGGCAGGCCCTGGAGTTTGGGGGGAATGGAGCTGAGGCATCCAGCTACAGCTCCTTAGCACAGACACGGAGCCTGAGAGGCACCAGCTGTGCACGGGATCAGCCCTAGCACAGCCAGAGGGCACTGCCAGCCACAGCATCTTTCTCAAGAGAAAGCTTTCACTGGCACGTGGATGGAGAAATCTCCTGCTGGCTGTTTTTCTCCTCTGCCATCTCTGGGCACTTTTCCTCTGCGAGGCATCAGTGAGATCCCCACAGGTCAGACAGCATGGGGCAGTGGATGGGAGAGGAGAAGCTGTACCTTGCTCACTTTGCTCCAGCTGTTTCAGCAGCTCCTTATTGCGAGCCCTGAGATTGTCTCTCTGAGCCTGTCTCTTCCTCAGCTCCAGCTCCATGGCCTTACACTGTGTGGCAATGTCCACTGAGATTTCCTCAGAGCTCTGGAGCCTCACAAGCAGCTCAGACTCCTCAGTTTCCAATTGCTTCTGTCGAGTTTCCAAGAAAGCTGCCTTCTCCTTCACTGCCTCCAGCAGGGCCCAGGCCTGGAAGATGGATGCACAGAACCTCAGGGACAGGCCTGCTCCTGAGGCTGCACAGCGGGCCACAGGGAGAGCAACGAAGGAGAAATGACTTCAAGCCAAACCCAGAAGGCACAGAAGCAAGGATGCCAATGGAGACAAATGGAGAGAAAACAGGGAAAGGGAGGCAATGGGCATCCTTGGGCTGCAGCTCGGAACAGCGGCTGAACTGGCTGTGCTGGAAGTGCCCTGCCCAGCCTGCCACAGCCACCTCTGTGTCCCCACATTGCTCAGTGCCTGGCACAGGCACCAACTCTGTCTGGGACAACACTGCCAACAGAGGGACAGAGAAGCTCCAGAGGAGTCTGCTGCTGCTTCTCCTCCCACATTTCCTGCTGGGACCCAGGAGAGGATGGGGGAAAACTTCTGCAGCAGAGACCAGATCCAGCCTCAGCCTCAGGGTGCAGCAGCAGCCCCGGGCAGAACACGACAGCTGTGGATGCTGCTGGCAGGGGAAAGAGGCTGGGGCCTCCAAGGCAAAGGTGCTGTTGTGTGTCCCTGGAGAAGAGGATGCCACTGTACAGCTTACCTGTGTGTTGAGCCCCAGCAGTTCTCTTCTATGCTCAGAATAGAGCTGCTCTGTCTCCTGAAGAGCAGATTGACACTGAGACACCTGATTGTGCAGTGCCAGGTTCTGCTCTTCCAGTGTCCTGAGGCACACCTTCTTTTCTTCAAGAGACAGAATCAGCCTAGAAGGAAAGCAAGCAACTCATTACTAAATGATATCACCTTTTATCAACTCTTAGGACTCACACCACCTCAGGGGGAAACTGCTCTGCCTGATGAGGTTTCTCTAGACAACTTGGCTGTTTAGACTTGACTGTTCCCCCTGCAGTCCCTGACCAGCATGTGCCTACTCTGCTTTTGTCCCAGAATGAACAGCGAGTTCCTGCCTCCATGCCATACATTCTTTCTGAGCTGGGAATGTGAATACAAACCTAACAAAGTCTTGCAATGAAGACATTAGGGGAGAGGAACAATTTTCTTCTGACTAACCAGGCTCCAAAGCAGGGAGGCTTGGTCAGCATGGAAGAGACATTTCCTTCCCCCATCTTACACATCCAGGTAGCAGGAGCAGCACCCTAGAGCCAGGGAATCTCTGGCAAGTTCCCGAAGATTTACCAGCACCCATCCTACTTTCAGCTGGAGAAACAAAGGCCAAAAGGGCAACTGAGGCTTGGAGCACAAACTGATGGAAGATGCAGAAGGCTCCAGGCAAGCAGGAGTGCCCTGCATTTGCTTTGTCTTCTTCTTGGAGGAAGAATCCTGTGGCACTGAAGCCTGGCAGGATTTGATCAGCTACATGAGCCCCCCATAGCTTGGTCCTGTTCCTTGCATTCTTTGCACAGTCAGAAATGCCTGTGACTGTGCAGGGTGGCAGGGACCCTGCTTGACCCCCTGCAGGCAGCAGGGGACATTTGATGAGGAACCATGCAACAGAGACATTCTTGTTTCTGGGCTGCCTCCAAGGCCAAGCTGGCCTAGAGCAGCACTCAGGGCCTTAAGATGGTTCTGCCCAGAAAAAGCATCAGATGCCAGGCTGATCCAGACCCCAAAGGCTTCAAGTTACAGGATCCAAGGTAGAGCTGATGGATGTATGCAGCTCCTTACAGTGCACCTCGGGCAGTGTCAACACACCCACCCAACCACACAATAACCCCTAGAGGGAAAGGGCTTCCCCAGAAGACTTTGTCTTCAGAAAAACTCTATCTGAAGGCTTGAAAGAAAAGAAAATGAAACTCAGCATTCAGATAATGAGACGTGTCTGCACGGGGAGTGCAGAACCTGCCATGTAGGAAATGCTGCCAGAGCCCCTGGCAGGTGCAAAGATGGCAAAGAGGGAATCCATTCAGCACAATGCAGAGTCCCACAGGCTTTCATTTACCTGGCCTTTTCCTTCTCTAGGGCATTGACAGAAGCCTGCAATTCTGAATTTTGCTGTGCCACTTCTTCCCATTGAATCCATTCCCTCTCCAAGTACTCCAGATGCACTTGCAGCTCCTTGTTCTGATGTTGTGCCTCCTCCAGCATCTTCTGGATCTTCTCAAGCTCCAACAGCTTCTGCCTGGACTCTTCCTGTGTCTCCCTCCCATCTTGCTGGGCTCTCTGTGCAGTCCTTTCCTGGCACTCTTGGGAGGCTGCCAGCTGAGATGTCAACTCTGCCACCTCCAGTCAAACAGAACAAAGCAGTCAGAGGCTACAGCCACAGCTTCTCACACTCAGCCACAGCACAGGCTGTGAGCAAAGGTAAAGGACAACTTTCCACTCCTCCCTGTCCTGAGAGCACCAGATGCACAAAGGACATGGGCAACTTGTTTCAGTCTCTAAGTGGCCCACCCGCAAGGGCACCTGAGAAAGCACCTGCCAAAGCAAGGCCAGCAAGAAGAGGCCAGCAGGAATCCATGCTGCTGCTTGCTGGCCAGCAGCACAGAGGACTAGCCCAGCTGTCCAGAGCAGCAGCTGACATTCAGCAGAGCCCTGAGTGTCCTTCAGAGCAGCTGCCATGGAGCCCCCAGAGCACGAGACAGCCCCAGGGCTCACCCCAGCAGCTGCTGCTCTGCCATGGAAAAGCAAGAAGGCCACAGACCCCTCGCTGCATGACTGCAGTGCCACTGCTCTTTCACTCACCTGCTTTTCTAGAGCCTCCCTCTGCTCAAGGAGGAGATGCATTTCCTCTTTGAGGCCTTGTAGCTCTTCCTCATGCCTCCTCTGAGCTGCCTGGGCTTCTCTGCGAGCTCCCTGCAGCTCCCCTTGCAGCTCTGCCTCCACACGCTTCCAGGTCATCTCCAGCTGAGCCATCTGCTGCTGAGCAGCAAACAGCCTGGATTGCAGGCTCTCCTTTGCTGACCTACAAGTTGCAAAGATGGACAGACGTGAGTTGCTTGCTCCAGACACCCACAGCCGGTTATTCCAGGACGACGTGGCTCAAGATCCCCACGCCTGAGGATGGAAAATGGCTCCGCCGGAAACTCCTCCTGAGAAGGCACATCTGGGCCATTTCCAGAGCAGAGCAGGGCCTCTGAGGGACTGCCCAGGCCTTCCTTATGGCCTGCCCTAGCACAGGCAGCCCAGCCCAACTTGGCCTCAACAGCCAAACCTTCACTTGCTGCTCCTGACCTATGACTCTGGGTAGCTGTGCCCAAACAGGCTGGAGCAACAAGCAAAAGCCCAGCCCCTGCTCACAGCCCTTCTCTCATCAGCACTTCCAAGCTGCTCTGCAGGGGGACAGAACAGACTCTTGTCCTGGCTGACTCCTGACTTTTTAATGCTCTTGATAATGGACAGAAAGGTACATCATCTTCCAGACACCCGGGATTTAACGAGGCTTCAGAACTACTTTGCAGATACAGTAAAATCTCATGGTCATGGCAGCACCTGTGAAAAATCAGATCACCCTTTTGTCTGAACAACAACTACCTGGATGCAGAGACTGCAGTTTCAACTCTTGCAAGGTCCAGGAGTAGACTTGCTGCCTTTATTTGAGTGTTGCTGAACAAGCAGGCAGTAGCCCAAGGGACTTGTCCTTCTTTACACAGTGAGAGGGACCATGCAAAGGCACCTTGGCAGGTTTGGCAGCTGGGTGCCCACCAACAATCAGCAAGAATGCCCAGAGGCTGTTGAGAATTCCAAAGAGCTTTCCCTGCTGCTCTCTAACCAGCTCTACATCCTGTCCCACACTTCTCAAGAGTGTGCTTGGAAGCAGAAATGCCTCAAGATGGTCAGCAGGAGCCTCTGGCTTCACCCTGAATGGCAGCGTGCTACTCCCAACGTGCCAAGGTAAGAGCCTGGAATGCTGAAGATGAGGCTTCCTGGTCTGAAGATCAGGATCATGTCAAGCGACTCAGAAAGGAACGAGGGATGTTCAATGCCCAGAACGAGGAACCAAACCCAAGAGAAACTTGAGGTTTCACTCAGCATCTGCATGGTTCAACTACTCCTCAGTTCAGGGCTGGCTGGATTGCTTTTGACATCCCACAGGAGTGTGCTCGGCGGCACAAACTGGAGCCCAAGGCTGACGAGAGCTTTGCTGGCTTTCGGTGCAAGAAAAACAACCTTCACATTGTGGCATTTATATTTTTTCCTTGAGACGCTTCCACATTGTGTCCACGGAATGTAAAACCATCTGAAAAGTTTCAACTCCCGGCCTTTACCTGGTCTCCTCCAGCTGCCTGGCAAGGTCTTGTCGGAGCCACTCGGTGGCTGCCAGTCGGCTCTCAAGGTCAGCCTTCTGGGCCAGCAGCTCCTCCTCTCGCCACGCCTGGGCCACTTCATGCCCTTGGCCAGAGGATTCCTGGCTCAGCAGCTCCAGAGACCAGCTCGATGACTCTTCTTCCTCGGAAACCTGCAAGTGGGACAAGGTACAGCTGGAGCCCTTCCTCGGGAGCCCTGTGCAGAGCCAGCCAGTGCCACCTCACAGGCAGCCAGAGGACAAGGAGCACCTGTGCCCTGGCCTGAAAGTTTCACAGCATCTGCCCCATGCAGCTCTGATAGCCTGGCCTGCCAAAAGCCTCTGGCACTGTTCCCTTGGAAGTGCTGTGGCAGGCCCTGCTGCCTTGCCCGGGCCCAGACAGCTCCTTCCCAACAAACATCCCTACTGCAAACTCTGTGTTGTCACCCAAAACCACTGCATCTTCCATAACTGCCAATATAATTGACTCTAAGCACCAGCTGTGCTGAACATTTTCAGCCATTACTCCAAAACTCAACTGGCATTAGTCCATCACTCTGCTCACCGGCTCCATTCCTTCCCACACCCAATCCAAACCCCCATGTGTTGCCTCTTCATGTGTGGGCACAGGAGAAGCAGCTCCCCATGCCCAGCTTTTGGCCTGGAGCTGCTTTGAACAGCAAGCTCCAGAGCTGGATCAGTCATTCTGGGTGTGCCAGGAATCAGTCTGGCAGTCAGTGGCCTCTGGCTGGAGCCAGGCAGACAGACAAGGCTCTTTACCCAAGCAGGCCTGCACTGACAGGGATAGAGACCCACCTCTTCATGGGAAAAATCGCTTGAATAATTCAGGGACACTGGAGTGGACTGAAGGTCAAGTTCTCTGCCTGCCTGGATACAAATCTTTCCCTTCAGGGAGCCCAAGTGTTGCTTCAGAGCCCCTCTGGCAAGTTCACTCTTGTTCAGTGCAGCACTCAGTACTTGAGTCTTGTCCCTCGATTTCTTCAAAGCAGCAGCCCCATGCTCCAAATCTTCTTGCAACTCTTCCCTCTCCACTTGTAATTCTTGATTATTTCCCTTATGATTGCTCATCTCAGGTGCATGCATTTGATTCTTCTTTTCCAGATATCTCATCTGCTGCTGGTACAATTCCCTTTCATGCTGCCAAAACAGGGAGAAAAAGGATCACTCATTCCCTCTCTTGCTTTGCTTTTCATACCAGATCTGGACTCCTCCTGCAGGGGCAGGCACAGGCTGCCCCTCTCTCTCAGCCTCTCAGCATGCTGCAGAGCTTTGCTGGGCCCCCCTCCCCTTGATGCTGCATCTTTCCCAGCTCACTCAGCCCATCCCAGCTTCCCTTCTGCCCTTGCCTGACCTCCTGCAGCTCCACTCCAGGGCTCCTTTGGGGAGGAGCTGCCAGAACTGCAGCCAGGATTTCAACCCTGCTAAGCGGGATTCAGGCAGTGCCACGAGGATGTGCTCTCCATCAGGGAGGAAGGGAGAGCAAACAGCCACAGCCTTTCATTCCCTGGGGCTGGGCTGACAGCAGTGCTTTTCCACCTCTCCTGTGTAGAGTTCCCATGGCTCCATGCCCCAGAGCCCCACTGCCCTCTCTGGGAGCAGCAATGGCCAGATCAGTCTGTCATTCTCTGCTGCCACTCAGGACCAGTTCTCCCCTTGCAGGCACACGTCCTGCTGGGGATCAGACCTTGGCTTTCCTCTCCTCTCTCCCCACTGGCTGCTCTCCCATGGCCAAGGCCAAACACCTTTCTATTAACAGCAAACTTTGTGTTCTCCTCCCTCTTTCCACATCCAGATATTTAGAAAGCTGAACATGGCATTGGACACCAGGAATTCCCCAAACCATGCAATGTCAATAGGGACACTGAGGACATTGAGAACTAAAGGTTCTAGAGCACAGAAGCCCAGCAGGGAGGAAAATCAGCAGCCTCAGCATTAACTGGCTTGGCCATGACTACAACATCTCCTCCTCCTTATTCAGTAGAATGCAATTAGAAAAGTTTAACTGGGAAAAGGTGCTCTTTAGAACTATGAGCACAAGGTCCAAACATAGCTAGGAAAGGGCCCTTTGTGGTATCTGCCAATCTCACCAGCACATCCTTCCTTTCCTTCTCCAGGTCCTCTAAATTCCTTTGCAAAGAGGGACAAAGAGTCAAAACATCTTCCTTCAGGGCAATGGCGTCTTGCTTCTGGGAATTTTCATGAGAGATTTTCTGGTGTTCTGCCCTCAACATTGCTGGAGGAGGGAAGGGGAAGGAGGAGGGGAAAAGAAAAGTCAAGTTAAACTGATGTGCATCCTGCAGAGACAACAGCACTGTCTTCTCTACCTGCCTGTGGTTGCCAGGCCCTAAGCCCACAAAGGCTCCAAAGCTGACAGAAATGAAGGAAACTTCCGGGCAGAGAAAAAGGCAGGAATGAAAGGGGCAAGGATAAGAGGGATAGAAAAGTGTGTTTGCTCTTGGCCTTGTGCAGAGTGAGCAATCTAAGAGAGACAAAGCACAGGGGATGCCTGTGCAGCCCTGCTCCAGAGAGGCCAATAGCCTGGAGGCTCTGGCAGGGCCTGGAGTTTGGGGGGAATGGAGCTGAGGCATCCAGCTACAGCTCCTTAGCACAGACACGGAGCCTGAGAGGCACCAGCTGTGCACGGGATCAGCCCTAGCACAGCCAGAGGGCACTGCCAGCCACAGCACCTTTCTCAAGAGAAAGCTTTCACTGGCACGTGGATGGAGAAATCTCCTGCTGGCTGTTTCTCTCTTCTGCCATCTCTGGGCACTTTTCCTCTGCGAGGCATCAGTGAGATCCCCACAGGTCAGACAGCATGGGGCAGTGGATGGGAGAGGAGAAGCTGTACCTTGCTCACTTTGCTCCAGCTGTTTCAGCAGCTCCTTATTGCGAGCCCTGAGATTGTCTCTCTGAGCCTGTCTCTTCCTCAGCTCCAGCTCCATGGCCTTACACTGTGTGGCAATGTCCACTGAGATTTCCTCAGAGCTCTGGAGCCTCACAAGCAGCTCAGACTCCTCAGTTTCCAATTGCTTCTGTCGAGTTTCCAAGAAAGCTGCCTTCTCCTTCACTGCCTCCAGCAGGGCCCAGGCCTGGAAGATGGATGCACAGAGCCTCAGGGACAGGCCTGCTCCTGAGGCTGCACAGCGGGCCACAGGGAGAGCAACGAAGGAGAAATGACTTCAAGCCAAACCCAGAAGGCACAGAAGCAAGGATGCCAATGGAGACAAATGGAGAGAAAACAGGGAAAGGGAGGCAATGGGCATCCTTGGGCTGCAGCTCGGAACAGCGGCTGAACTGGCTGTGCTGGAAGTGCCCTGCCCAGCCTGCCACAGCCACCTCTGTGTCCCCACATTGCTCAGTGCCTGGCACAGGCACCAACTCTGTCTGGGACAACACTGCCAACAGAGGGACAGAGAAGCTCCAGAGGAGTCTGCTGCTGCTTCTCCTCCCACATTTCCTGCTGGGACCCGGGAGAAAATGGGGGAAAACTTCTGCAGCAGAGACCAGATCCAGCCTCAGCCTCAGGGTGCAGCAGCAGCCCCGGGCAGAACACGACAGCTGTGGATGCTGCTGGCAGGGGAAAGAGGCTGGGGCCTCCAAGGCAAAGGTGCTGTTGTGTGTCCCTGGAGAAGAGGATGCCACTGTACAGCTTACCTGTGTGTTGAGCCCCAGCAGTTCTCTTCTATGCTCAGAATAGAGCTGCTCTGTCTCCTGAAGAGCAGATTGACACTGAGACACCTGATTGTGCAGTGCCAGGTTCTGCTCTTCCAGTGTCCTGAGGCACACCTTCTTTTCTTCAAGAGACAGAATCAGCCTAGAAGGAAAGCAAGCAACTCATTACTAAATGATATCACCTTTTATCAACTCTTAGGACTCACACCACCTCAGGGGGAAACTGCTCTGCCTGATGAGGTTTCTCTAGACAACTTGGCTGTTTAGACTTGACTGTTCCCCCTGCAGTCCCTGACCAGCATGTGCCTACTCTGCTTTTGTCCCAGAATGAACAGCGAGTTCCTGCCTCCATGCCATACGTTCTTTCTGAGCTGGGAATGTGAATACAAACCTAACAAAGTCTTGCAATGAAGACATTAGGGGAGAGGAACAATTTTCTTCTGACTAACCAGGCTCCAAAGCAGGGAGGCTTGGTCAGCATGGAAGAGACATTTCCTTCCCCCATCTTACACATCCAGGTAGCAGGAGCAGCACCCTAGAGCCAGGGAATCTCTGGCAAGTTCCCGAAGATTTACCAGCACCCATCCTACTTTCAGCTGGAGAAACAAAGGCCAAAAGGGCAACTGAGGCTTGGAGCACAAACTGATGGAAGATGCAGAAGGCTCCAGGCAAGCAGGAGTGCCCTGCCTTTGCTTTGTCTTCTTCTTGGAGGAAGAATCCTGTGGCACTGAAGCCTGGCAGGATTTGATCAGCTACATGAGCCCCCCATAGCTTGGTCCTGTTCCTTGCATTCTTTGCACAGTCAGAAATGCCTGTGACTGTGCAGGGTGGCAGGGACCCTGCTTGACCCCCTGCAGGCAGCGGGGGACATTGGATGAGGAACCATGCAACAGAGACATTCTTGTTTCTGGGCTGCCTCCAAGGCCAAGCTGGCCTAGAGCAGCACTCAGGGCCTTAAGATGGTTCTGCCCAGAAAAAGCATCAGATGCCAGGCTGATCCAGACCCCAAAGGCTTCAAGTTACAGGATCCAAGGTAGAGCTGATGGATGTATGCAGCTCCTTACAGTGCACCTCAGGCAGTGTCAACACACCCACCTAACAACACAATAACCCCTAGAGGGAAAGGGCTTCCCCAGAAGACTTTGTCTTCAGAAAAACTCTATCTGAAGGCTTGAAAGAAAAGAAAATGAAACTCAGCATTCAGATAATGAGACGTGTCTGCACGGGGAGTGCAGAACCTGCCATGTAGGAAATGCTGCCAGAGCCCCTGGCAGGTGCAAAGATGGCAAAGAGGGAATCCATTCAGCACAATGCAGAGTCCCACAGGCTTTCATTTACCTGGCCTTTTCCTTCTCTAGAGCATTGACAGAAGCCTGCAATTCTGAATTTTGCTGTGCCACTTCTTCCCATTGAATCCATTCCCTCTCCAAGTAGTCCAGATGCACTTGCAGCTCCTTGTTCTGATGTTGTGCCTCCTCCAGCATCTTCTGGATCTTCTCAAGCTCCAACAGCTTCTGCCTGGACTCTTCCTGTGTCTCCCTCCCATCTTGCTGGGCTCTCTGTGCAGTCCTTTCCTGGCACTCTTGGGAGGCTGCCAGCTGAGATGTCAACTCTGCCACCTCCAGTCAAACAGAACAAAGCAGTCAGAGGCTACAGCCACAGCTTCTCACACTCAGCCACAGCACAGGCTGTGAGCAAAGGTAAAGGACAACTTTCCACTCCTCCCTGTCCTGAGAGCACCAGATGCACAAAGGACATGGGCAACTTGTTTCAGTCTCTACGTGGCCCACCCGCAAGGGCACCTGAGAAAGCACCTGCCAAAGCAAGGCCAGCAAGAAGAGGCCAGCAGGAATCCATGCTGCTGCTTGCTGGCCAGCAGCACAGAGGACTAGCCCAGCTGTCCAGAGCAGCAGCTGACATTCAGCAGAGCCCTGAGTGTCCTTCAGAGCAGCTGCCATGGAGCCCCCAGAGCACGAGACAGCCCCAGGGCTCACCCCAGCAGCTGCTGCTCTGCCATGGAAAAGCAAGAAGGCCACAGACCCCTCGCTGCATGACTGCAGTGCCACTGCTCTTTCACTCACCTGCTTTTCTAGAGCCTCCCTCTGCTCAAGGAGGAGATGCATTTCCTCTTTGAGGCCTTGTAGCTCTTCCTCATGCCTCCTCTGCGCTGCCTGGGCTTCTCTGCAAGCTCCCTGCAGCTCCCCTTGCAGCTCTGCCTCCACACGCTTCCAGGTCATCTCCAGCTGAGCCATCTGCTGCTGAGCAGCAAACAGCCTGGATTGCAGGCTCTCCTTTGCTGACCTACAAGTTGCAAAGATGGACAGACGTGAGTTGCTTGCTCCAGACACCCACAGCCGGTTATTCCAGGACGACGTGGCTCAAGATCCCCACGCCTGAGGATGGAAAATGGCTCCGCCGGAAACTCCTCCTGAGAAGGCACATCTGGGCCATTTCCAGAGCAGAGCAGGGCCTCTGAGGGACTGCCCAGGCCTTCCTTATGGCCTGCCCTAGCACAGGCAGCCCAGCCCAACTTGGCCTCAACAGCCAAACCTTCACTTGCTGCTCCTGACCTATGACTCTGGGTAGCTGTGCCCAAACAGGCTGGAGCAACAAGCAAAAGCCCAGTCCCTGCTCACAGCCCTTCTCTCATCAGCACTTCCAAGCTGCTTTGCAGGGGGACAGAACAGACTCTTGTCCTGGCTGACTCCTGACTTTTTAATGCTCTTGATAATGGACAGAAAGGTACATCATCTTCCAGACACCCGGGATTTAACGAGGCTTCAGAACTACTTTGCAGATACAGTAAAATCTCATGGTCATGGCAGCACCTGTGAAAAATCAGATCACCCTTTTGTCTGAACAACAACTACCTGGATGCAGAGACTGCAGTTTCAACTCTTGCAAGGTCCAGGAGTAGACTTGCTGCCTTTATTTGAGTGTTGCTGAACAAGCAGGCAGTAGCCCAAGGGACTTGTCCTTCTTTACACAGTGAGAGAGACCATGCAAAGGCACCTTGGCAGGTTTGGCAGCTGGGTGCCCACCAACAATCAGCAAGAATGCCCAGAGGCTGTTGAGAATTCCAAAGAGCTTTCCCTGCTGCTCTCTAACCAGCTCTAGGTCTTGTCCCACACTTCTCAAGAGTGTGCTTGGAAGCAGAAATGCCTCAAGATGGTCAGCAGGAGCCTCTGGCTTCACCCTGAATGGCAGCGTGCTACTCCCAACGGGCCAAGGTAAGAGCCTGGAATGCTGAAGATGAGGCTTCCTGGTCTGAAGATCAGGATCATGTCAAGCGACTCAGAAAGGAACAAGGGATGTTCAATGCCCAGAACGAGGAACCAAACCCAAGAGAAACTTGAGGTTTCACTCAGCATCTGCATGGTTATCTACTCCTCAGTTCAGGGCTGGCTGGATTGCTTTTGACATCCCACAGGAGTGTGCTCGGCGGCACAAACTGGAGCCCAAGGCTGACGAGAGCTTTGCTGGCTTTCGGTGCAAGAAAAACAACCTTCACATTGTGGCATTTATATTTTTTCCTTGAGACGCTTCCATATTGTGTCCACGGAATGTAAAACCATCTGAAAAGTTTCAACTCCCGGCCTTTACCTGGTCTCCTCCAGCTGCCTGGCAAGGTCTTGTCGGAGCCACTCGGTGGCTGCCAGTCGGCCCTCAAGGTCAGCCTTCTGGGCCAGCAGCTCCTCCTCTCGCCACGCCTGGGCCACTTCATGCCCTTGGCCAGAGGATTCCTGGCTCAGCAGCTCCAGAGACCAGCTCGATGACTCTTCTTCCTCGGAAACCTGCAAGTGGGACAAGGTACAGCTGGAGCCCTTCCTCGGGAGCCCTGTGCAGAGCCAGCCAGTGCCACCTCACAGGCAGCCAGAGGACAAGGAGCACCTGTGCCCTGGCCTCAAAGTTTCACAGCATCTGCCCCATGCAGCTCTGATAGCCTGGCCTGCCAAAAGCCTCTGGCACTGTTCCCTTGGAAGTGCTGTGGCAGGCCCTGCTGCCTTGCCTGGGCCCAGACAGCTCCTTCCCAACAAACATCCCTACTGCAAACTCTGTGTTGTCACCCAAAACCACTGCATCTTCCATAACTGCCAATATAATTGACTCTAAGCACCAGCTGTGCTGAACATTTTCAGCCATTACTCCAAAACTCAACTGGCATTAGTCCATCACTCTGCTCACCGGCTCCATTCCTTCCCACACCCAATCCAAACCCCCATGTGTTGCCTCTTCATGTGTGGGCACAGGAGAAGCAGCTCCCCATGCCCAGCTTTTGGCCTGGAGCTGCTTTGAACAGCAAGCTCCAGAGCTGGATCAGTCATTCTGGGTGTGCCAGGAATCAGTCTGGCAGTCAGTGGCCTCTGGCTGGAGCCAGGCAGACAGACAAGGCTCTTTACCCAAGCAGGCCTGCACTGACAGGGATAGAGACCCACCTCTTCATGGGAAAAATCGCTTGAATAATTCAGGGACACTGGAGTGGACTGAAGGTCAAGTTCTCTGCCTGCCTGGATACAAATCTTTCCCTTCAGGGAGCCCAAGTGTTGCTTCAGAGCCCCTCTGGCAAGTTCACTCTTGTTCAGTGCAGCACTCAGTACTTGAGTCTTGTCCCTCGATTTCTTCAAAGCAGCAGCCCCATGCTCCAAATCTTCTTGCAACTCTTCCCTCTCCACTTGTAATTCTTGATTATTTCCCTTATGATTGCTCATCTCAGGTGCATGCATTTGATTCTTCTTTTCCAGATATCTCATCTGCTGCTGGTACAATTCCCTTTCATGCTGCCAAAACAGGGAGAAAAAGGATCACTCATTCCCTCTCTTGCTTTGCTTTTCATACCAGATCTGGACTCCTGCTGCAGGGGCAGGCACAGGCTGCCCCTCTCTCTCAGCCTCTCAGCATGCTGCAGAGCTTTGCTGGGCCCCCCTCCCCTTGATGCTGCATCTTTCCCAGCTCACTCAGCCCATCCCAGCTTCCCTTCTGCCCTTGCCTGACCTCCTGCAGCTCCACTCCAGGGCTCCTTTGGGGAGGAGCTGCCAGAACTGCAGCCAGGATTTCAACCCTGCTAAGCGGGATTCAGGCAGTGCCACGAGGATGTGCTCTCCATCAGGGAGGAAGGGAGAGCAAACAGCCACAGCCTTTCATTCCCTGGGGCTGGGCTGACAGCAGTGCTTTTCCACCTCTCCTGTGTAGAGTTCCCATGGCTCCATGCCCCAGAGCCCCACTGCCCTCTCTGGGAGCAGCAATGGCCAGATCAGTCTGTCATTCTCTGCTGCCACTCAGGACCAGTTCTCCCCTTGCAGGCACACGTCCTGCTGGGGATCAGACCTTGGCTTTCCTCTCCTCTCTCCCCACTGGCTGCTCTCCCATGGCCAAGGCCAAACACCTTTCTATTAACAGCAAACTTTGTGTTCTCCTCCCTCTTTCCACATCCAGATATTTAGAAAGCTGAACATGGCATTGGACACCAGGAATTCCCCAAACCATGCAATGTCAATAGGGACACTGAGGACATTGAGAACTAAAGGTTCTAGAGCACAGAAGCCCAGCAGGGAGGAAAATCAGCAGCCTCAGCATTAACTGGCTTGGCCATGACTACAACATCTCCTCCTCCTTATTCAGTAGAATGCAATTAGAAAAGTTTAACTGGGAAAAGGTGCTCTTTAGAACTATGAGCACAAGGTCCAAACATAGCTAGGAAAGGGCCCTTTGTGGTATCTGCCAATCTCACCAGCACATCCTTCCTTTCCTTCTCCAGGTCCTCTAAATTCCTTTGCAAAGAGGGACAAAGAGTCAAAACATCTTCCTTCAGGGCAATGGCGTCTTGCTTCTGGGAATTTTCATGAGAGATTTTCTGGTGTTCTGCCCTCAACATTGCTGGAGGAGGGAAGGGGAAGGAGGAGGGGAAAAGAAAAGTCAAGTTAAACTGATGTGCATCCTGCAGAGACAACAGCACTGTCTTCTCTACCTGCCTGTGGTTGCCAGGCCCTAAGCCCACAAAGGCTCCAAAGCTGACAGAAATGAAGGAAACTTCCGGGCAGAGAAAAAGGCAGGAATGAAAGGGGCAAGGATAAGAGGGATAGAAAAGTGTGTTTGCTCTTGGCCTTGTGCAGAGTGAGCAATCTAAGAGAGACAAAGCACAGGGGATGCCTGTGCAGCCCTGCTCCAGAGAGGCCAATAGCCTGGAGGCTCTGGCAGGCCCTGGAGTTTGGGGGGAATGGAGCTGAGGCATCCAGCTACAGCTCCTTAGCACAGACACGGAGCCTGAGAGGCACCAGCTGTGCACGGGATCAGCCCTAGCACAGCCAGAGGGCACTGCCAGCCACAGCACCTTTCTCAAGAGAAAGCTTTCACTGGCACGTGGATGGAGAAATCTCCTGCTGGCTGTTTCTCTCTTCTGCCATCTCTGGGCACTTTTCCTCTGCGAGGCATCAGTGAGATCCCCACAGGTCAGACAGCATGGGGCAGTGGATGGGAGAGGAGAAGCTGTACCTTGCTCACTTTGCTCCAGCTGTTTCAGCAGCTCCTTATTGCGAGCCCTGAGATTGTCTCTCTGAGCCTGTCTCTTCCTCAGCTCCAGCTCCATGGCCTTACACTGTGTGGCAATGTCCACTGAGATTTCCTCAGAGCTCTGGAGCCTCACAAGCAGCTCAGACTCCTCAGTTTCCAATTGCTTCTGTCGAGTTTCCAAGAAAGCTGCCTTCTCCTTCACTGCCTCCAGCAGGGCCCAGGCCTGGAAGATGGATGCACAGAGCCTCAGGGACAGGCCTGCTCCTGAGGCTGCACAGCGGGCCACAGGGAGAGCAACGAAGGAGAAATGACTTCAAGCCAAACCCAGAAGGCACAGAAGCAAGGATGCCAATGGAGACAAATGGAGAGAAAACAGGGAAAGGGAGGCAATGGGCATCCTTGGGCTGCAGCTCGGAACAGCGGCTGAACTGGCTGTGCTGGAAGTGCCCTGCCCAGCCTGCCACAGCCACCTCTGTGTCCCCACATTGCTCAGTGCCTGGCACAGGCACCAACTCTGTCTGGGACAACACTGCCAACAGAGGGACAGAGAAGCTCCAGAGGAGTCTGCTGCTGCTTCTCCTCCCACATTTCCTGCTGGGACCCGGGAGAAAATGGGGGAAAACTTCTGCAGCAGAGACCAGATCCAGCCTCAGCCTCAGGGTGCAGCAGCAGCCCCGGGCAGAACACGACAGCTGTGGATGCTGCTGGCAGGGGAAAGAGGCTGGGGCCTCCAAGGCAAAGGTGCTGTTGTGTGTCCCTGGAGAAGAGGATGCCACTGTACAGCTTACCTGTGTGTTGAGCCCCAGCAGTTCTCTTCTATGCTCAGAATAGAGCTGCTCTGTCTCCTGAAGAGCAGATTGACACTGAGACACCTGATTGTGCAGTGCCAGGTTCTGCTCTTCCAGTGTCCTGAGGCACACCTTCTTTTCTTCAAGAGACAGAATCAGCCTAGAAGGAAAGCAAGCAACTCATTACTAAATGATATCACCTTTTATCAACTCTTAGGACTCACACCACCTCAGGGGGAAACTGCTCTGCCTGATGAGGTTTCTCTAGACAACTTGGCTGTTTAGACTTGACTGTTCCCCCTGCAGTCCCTGACCAGCATGTGCCTACTCTGCTTTTGTCCCAGAATGAACAGCGAGTTCCTGCCTCCATGCCATACGTTCTTTCTGAGCTGGGAATGTGAATACAAACCTAACAAAGTCTTGCAATGAAGACATTAGGGGAGAGGAACAATTTTCTTCTGACTAACCAGGCTCCAAAGCAGGGAGGCTTGGTCAGCATGGAAGAGACATTTCCTTCCCCCATCTTACACATCCAGGTAGCAGGAGCAGCACCCTAGAGCCAGGGAATCTCTGGCAAGTTCCCGAAGATTTACCAGCACCCATCCTACTTTCAGCTGGAGAAACAAAGGCCAAAAGGGCAACTGAGGCTTGGAGCACAAACTGATGGAAGATGCAGAAGGCTCCAGGCAAGCAGGAGTGCCCTGCCTTTGCTTTGTCTTCTTCTTGGAGGAAGAATCCTGTGGCACTGAAGCCTGGCAGGATTTGATCAGCTACATGAGCCCCCCATAGCTTGGTCCTGTTCCTTGCATTCTTTGCACAGTCAGAAATGCCTGTGACTGTGCAGGGTGGCAGGGACCCTGCTTGACCCCCTGCAGGCAGCGGGGGACATTGGATGAGGAACCATGCAACAGAGACATTCTTGTTTCTGGGCTGCCTCCAAGGCCAAGCTGGCCTAGAGCAGCACTCAGGGCCTTAAGATGGTTCTGCCCAGAAAAAGCATCAGATGCCAGGCTGATCCAGACCCCAAAGGCTTCAAGTTACAGGATCCAAGGTAGAGCTGATGGATGTATGCAGCTCCTTACAGTGCACCTCAGGCAGTGTCAACACACCCACCTAACAACACAATAACCCCTAGAGGGAAAGGGCTTCCCCAGAAGACTTTGTCTTCAGAAAAACTCTATCTGAAGGCTTGAAAGAAAAGAAAATGAAACTCAGCATTCAGATAATGAGACGTGTCTGCACGGGGAGTGCAGAACCTGCCATGTAGGAAATGCTGCCAGAGCCCCTGGCAGGTGCAAAGATGGCAAAGAGGGAATCCATTCAGCACAATGCAGAGTCCCACAGGCTTTCATTTACCTGGCCTTTTCCTTCTCTAGAGCATTGACAGAAGCCTGCAATTCTGAATTTTGCTGTGCCACTTCTTCCCATTGAATCCATTCCCTCTCCAAGTAGTCCAGATGCACTTGCAGCTCCTTGTTCTGATGTTGTGCCTCCTCCAGCATCTTCTGGATCTTCTCAAGCTCCAACAGCTTCTGCCTGGACTCTTCCTGTGTCTCCCTCCCATCTTGCTGGGCTCTCTGTGCAGTCCTTTCCTGGCACTCTTGGGAGGCTGCCAGCTGAGATGTCAACTCTGCCACCTCCAGTCAAACAGAACAAAGCAGTCAGAGGCTACAGCCACAGCTTCTCACACTCAGCCACAGCACAGGCTGTGAGCAAAGGTAAAGGACAACTTTCCACTCCTCCCTGTCCTGAGAGCACCAGATTCACAAAGGACATGGACAACTTGTTTCAGTCTCTACGTGGCCCACCAGCAAGGGCACCTGAGAAAGCACCTGCCAAAGCAAGGCCAGCAAGAAGAGGCCAGCAGGAATCCATGCTGCTGCTTGCTGGCCAGCAGCACAGAGGACTAGCCCAGCTGTCCAGAGCAGCAGCTGACATTCAGCAGAGCCCTGAGTGTCCTTCAGAGCAGCTGCCATGGAGCCCCCAGAGCACGAGACAGCCCCAGGGCTCACCCCAGCAGCTGCTGCTCTGCCATGGAAAAGCAAGAAGGCCACAGACCCCTCGCTGCATGACTGCAGTGCCACTGCTCTTTCACTCACCTGCTTTTCTAGAGCCTCCCTCTGCTCAAGGAGGAGATGCATTTCCTCTTTGAGGCCTTGTAGCTCTTCCTCGTGCCTCCTCTGAGCTGCCTGGGCTTCTCTGCGAGCTTCCTGCAGCTCCCCTTGCAGCTCTGCCTCCACACGCTTCCAGGTGATCTGCAGCTGAGCCATCTGCTGCTGAGCAGCAAACAGCCTGGATTGCAGGCTCTCCTTTGCTGACCTACAAGTTGCAAAGATGGACAGACATGAGTTGCTTGCTCCAGACACCCACAGCCGGTTATTCCAGGATGACGTGGCTCAAGATCCCCACGCCTGAGGATGGAAAATGGCTCCGCCGGAAACTCCTCCTGAGAAGGCACATCTGGGCCATTTCCAGAGCAGAGCAGGGCCTCTGAGGGACTGCCCAGGCCTTCCTTATGGCCTGCCCTAGCACAGGCAGCCCAGCCCAACTTGGCCTCAACAGCCAAACCTTCACTTGCTGCTCCTGACCTATGACTCTGGGTAGCTGTTCCCAAACAGGCTGGAGCAACAAGCAAAAGCCCAGCCCCTGCTCACAGCCCTTCTCTCATCAGCACTTCCAAGCTGCTCTGCAGGGGGACAGAACAGACTCTTGTCCTGGCTGACTCCTGACTTTTTAATGCTCTTGATAATGGACAGAAAGGTACATCATCTTCCAGACACCCGGGATTTAACGAGGCTTCAGAACTACTTTGCAGATACAGTAAAATCTCATGGTCATGGCAGCACCTGTGAAAAATCAGATCACCCTTTTGTCTGAACAACAACTACCTGGATGCAGAGACTGCAGTTTCAACTCTTGCAAGGTCCAGGAGTAGACTTGCTGCCTTTATTTGAGGGTTGCTGAACAAGCAGGCAGTAGCCCAAGGGACTTGTCCTTCTTTACACAGTGAGAGAGACCATGCAAAGGCACCTTGGCAGGTTTGGCAGCTGGGTGCCCACCAACAATCAGCAAGAATGCCCAGAGGCTGTTGAGAATTCCAAAGAGCTTTCCCTGCTGCTCTCTAACCAGCTCTACATCCTGTCCCACACTTCTCAAGAGTGTGCTTGGAAGCAGAAATGCCTCAAGATGGTCAGCAGGAGCCTCTGGCTTCACCCTGAATGGCAGCATGCTGCTCCCAACGGGCCAAGGTAAGAGCCTGGAATGCTGAAGATGAGGCTTCCTGGTCTGAAGATCAGGATCATGTCAAGCGACTCAGAAAGGAACGAGGGATGTTCAATGCCCAGAACGAGGAACCAAACCCAAGAGAAACTTGAGGTTTCACTCAGCATCTGCATGGTTTAACTACTCCTCAGTTTAGGGCTGGCTGGATTGCTTTTGACATCCCACAGGAGTGTGCTCGGTGGCACAAACAGGAGCCCAAGGCTCACGAGAGCTTTGCTGGCTTTCGGTGCAAGAAAAACAACCTTCACATTGTGGCATTTATATTTTTTCCTTGAGACGCTTCCATATTGTGTCCACGGAATGTAAAACCATCTGAAAAGTTTCAACTCCCGGCCTTTACCTGGTCTCCTCCAGCTGCCTGGCAAGGTCTTGTCGGAGCCCCTCGCTGGCTGCCAGTCGGCCCTCAAGGTCAGCCTTCTGGGCCAGCAGCTCCTCCTCTCGCCACGCCTGGGCCACTTCATGTCCTTGGCCAGAGGATTCCTGGCTCAGCAGCTCCAGAGACCAGCTCGATGACTCTTCTTCCTCGGAAACCTGCAAGTGGGACAAGGTACAGCTGGAGCCCTTCCTCGGGAGCCCTGTGCAGAGCCAGCCAGTGCCACCTCTCAGGCAGCCAGAGGACAAGGAGCACCTGTGCTCTGGCCTCAAAGTTTCACAGCATCTGCCCCATGCAGCTCTGATAGCCTGGCCTGCCAAAAGCTTCTGGCACTGTTCCCTTGGAAGTGCTGTGGCAGGCCCTGCTGCCTTGCCCGGGCCCAGACAGCTCCTTCCCAACAAACATCCCTACTCCAAACTCTGTGTTGCCACATAAAACCACTGCACCTTCCACAACTGCCTCTGGGCTAACAAAATTTCTCTTTGGATCTATTTCAGTGAATCAAGGGAAATTCAGCTGAATCAAGGGAAAATATACAGGACTTCTCCCTAACAGAAGGAAACCCGCATCACAGTGTCACCTCTTCACATACTCCAAGCAATTCTCTGCAAGGAGAGGATGCTTTACTGGGAAACGGCTCTTGTGCTCAGCAGATATTTAGTGACTGATGGATGTCTGGCTGATGTGGCCAAAGCAAAACCTCTGATGTGCATTTGCCAAACCTACCACATTGCCCAGACCTGAGAGTGTCTGACAGAGACCCTCTGAAACACAGCCTTCTCTTGCAGCTATCCTGTAACATCCAATTCAAACCTCCCCTGCCACAGCTTGGGACTGTTTCCTCTTCTCCTGTCCCTTGTTCCCTGGAAGCAGAGCCTGACCCTCACCTGGCTGCAGCTTCCTGTCACAGGGACTTGGAGAGAGCAAGAAGGTGCCCCCTGAGCCTTCTTTTCTCCAGGCTGAGCCCCCCCAGCTCCCTCAGCTGCTCCTGGTCACACCTGTGCTCCAGACCCTTCCCCAGCTCCCTTCCCTCTTTTAGAGGCTCTGTGGCTGCCCCAAGCAACACATTTTGCAGAAGCATGCCACACTTTGCTGATGAACATGCATATCCCTGGCTAAGAAATGCGTGTGCCCTCTTGAGCCAGGTGTGCACAGCACTGTGCCTGTCTTCTAGTGCCTGAAAGAGCATCAGGCTGATCTGGCTGCCACAACTCCCACTGCCACAGGTGCTGCCTAGCAATAAGGTGTTCAGAGCCCTGCTACCATCATCCCTCCCTTGCTCCAGCACATCCCTCTGAAGCTGCAATTCCTCCAAAGTCTGCCTCTTGACTTCCAGCTGCCTCTGCAAGGATGGCCCTTCTCCCTCGAGTGCAGCCAAGTCCTCCACTGTACAAGAAGGGGCAAGACAAGTTTTCAAGGGAAAACCATCTCATTTCCAAAACCAACCTCCATCCAGTCCTGCTGCTCTGCCTCTTCTGCCTGGGCTGACGCTTCCTTCTGCTGCTTGGTGTTCTGCTGCTGCAGACAAAAGGCTCCTGTCTCCGGGATTCCAGTGCATTGCAGCAGCATTTCCTTGGACTTCTCAATTTTTGCACAGTCACTGCAGAGACAAGGCCCAGTCAGAAGAAGCAAGAGGCCTGTAGAGTCAGCAATGCCATTTTCAGCACACCAGGATGGAGCTGGGGGCAGTGGGCTAAGGAAGACCTTGCTCTTTCCCTCCCAAGGAAATCCTCCAGAGGCAAAGGGAAAGGAAGGCAGGATTTTGCCTTCCTTCAGTGACAAGCAGTGGCTGGGCAGGGGCATGCAAGGAACAGAATTCAGGAAGCAGCACGGCAAGAAGAAGGAGTCTTCTATTCCAATATGGCTCTGCATCTCGCAGACAGCCTTGGGAGTCACAGTAGAGCATGAAAAACCCAGACAGGACATTGCTCAAGATCCACACTGAGGCCTACACATGGTAGGCAGGTGATTTCTTCATCCAGGACACCTCTGACCTCCCAGACCTGGAAGCAGATTGCCTCTGGAATGTAGGAGGAGGAGGAGGAGGAGGAAATGCTCACCTACAGATTTCTTCTAGCAGAGAGTCTATGATCTGGTATTGGCTTCTGATCCTCTGGGTTCTCTCCTCTACTTGATCAAACTGTTGCCACATGCGCTCACAATTCTCTGTAGCTTCCCGAGCCAAGTCAAAGGGATGCTGTTCATCAGTGGATGTCAGAGTTGAGAGGATGTTCCCAGGATTGTCGGTGCAGATGATGGAATTGCCCATGCTGTCACCGTCGTCCACCAGCACCTGAAAGGCCACATCCAGCTGTTAGTCAGGTATTCTGTTCCTGTTCCAAAGTAGCACTGAGATGCCTCCTCTGATCCCACAAGAACCAGTGTCCATTCATGGAGAACCAGTTTCAAAAGGCCAGCCAGCTCAGCACAGTTTACTCACCTGAGGGGCTCTGGAGGAACGTCCCTGGTGAGAAAGCCCTCGAGCTCCCTGCAAGTGCACAGGGAAGAGCACACTCAGACTGCATGGCTGCCCCTGAGGCAGTTGCCTCTAAGTGCTTCCCAGCCTGTCCCAGAGCACAGCACTTCCAGCTGAGCTCCTCCTCCCTTCCTTGGCAATATTTTCAGCCCAGGAGTTTGACAGCAGTGCAAGCAAACATACTGCAAGGTGTCTGATCACTTCTAAGAACACCAGAAGGGGAGCTGCCCAGAGCCCAATCCAACCTGGCCATGAACACTCCCAGGGATCCAGGGGCAGCCACAGCTTCTCTGGGCAACCTGTGCCACGGCCTCAGCACCCTCAGAGGGCAGAATCCCCTCCCAATATCCCATCCATCCTTGCCATGTCTCACTGGGAAGCCTTGTCCTGTCCCTGCAGGCCCCTGGCTTAAGTCCCTCTCCAGCTCTCTTGCAGCCCTTTCATGCATTGGAAGGGACTCTAAGGTCACCCTGGAACCTTCTCTAGTCAGGACAACCCCAACTCTTGCATCCTTTTCCCTTGGCACAGGTGCTCCAGCCCTTGCAGCATCTTCCTATCATCCTTGTGACCTCCTCTGGGCCACTGGGGATCATTTTGGAGATGTCTGGGAGAAACTCATTCTTGACTCTGGGAAGCGCTGAGGCTGCGCTGTAATTTGGGTGAGGGGAAGGCAATGAAAAGCTGCTCCCTTGTTTGTGCCCACGGCCTCCAGTGGGACAAGGAGAGTGGAGGAGATGTGGCTGTGCTCTGGGATAGCCAGGAGCCCCCCATTCCCTCCCAGGCCTGTCCCCACGGCAAGCACCACAGCTGCTGCCAGCTCTGGAACAGCCAACTGTTAATCCCTTGCAGATCCCAAAGGGAACTGTTCCCTAAGGCACAGCCCAGGCCCACCCAGGTCCCTGCTGGGCTTGGCACAAGGAGAGCAGCGGCTTTGTCACTCACCCTCCGGGTCTCCATCCGCCCCTCGCACGAAGAGACAGATAATATCAGAGACAGATAATATCAGTGACCAAAGGCCCTTGGTCTTTGCAGGGTTGAAACCCCAGTGACCAAAGATCCTTGGTCTTTGCAGGGTCGAAACCCCAGTGCCCAAAGGCCCTTGGCCTTTGCAGGGTCTAAACCCCAAATATCCAAAGGCCCTTGGCAATTGCAGGGTCTAAACCCTGATATCCAAATGCCCTTGGCCTTTGCAGGGTCTAAACCCTGATATCCAAAGGCCCTTGGCCTTTGCAGGGTCTAAACCCTGATATCCAAAGGCCCTTGGCCTTTGCAGGGTCTAAACCCCAAAAACCCAAAGGCCCTTGGCCTTTGCAGGGTGTAAACACCAATATCCAAAGGCCCTTGGCCTTTGCAGGGTGTAAACACCAATATCCAAAGGCCCTTGGCCTTTGCAGGGTGTAAACACCAATATCCAAAGGCCCTTGGCCTTTGCAGGGTGTAAACACCAATATTCAAAGGTTCTTGGCCTTTGCAGGGTCAATAGCACACAATCTAAGTGCCGTTGGCCTTTGCAAGGTCCAAGCCCCAAAGTTCACGAGCTGTTGACAGCTCCAGGGTCCAAACCCCAATAGCCAGGAGCTGTTGATTGTTGCCAGGATCCAACCCCCAGCATTCCATGGCCTTTGTGACACTTGCCAGGGTCATACCCCCAATGTTCCATGGCCTTTGTGATGGCTGCCAGGGCCCAAAGCCCAGCATTCCAGGGGCTGTTGGGAGGCCCTCCCTGGCTCTCCCCCCATCCCTGCTCCCTGCTGGTCCTGGCACTGGCCCTGCTTCCCTTGGGTCCCCAGAGCCCTCCTGGGCAGCTGGGCAGGGACCTGGCTCAGAAGTCAGTTTTAAGGCTCAGCATTCTCAAGACTTGCAGGCTCTTTAGGGATGCGCTTCATTCCTGAGTCACAGGAATTCTTCTGTCTTCTCTGACAAAGGGCACATGAAAGAAAAAGCCTAAAAAGGTTCTTGGTGCCTACAAATATTCATGGAAAATAAAGCTTTGCCTTTAGAACAGCCATATGAGGAGGAAGAATGGTGTTTCAGGGGTGTTTCAAATTTCTACAGAGAAATGCTGAGAGCTGCAGTGTTTAAGGCTCATAAAATGAGACAACCACGAGTACATTTTTTTCTCTGCTCTCTGTTTGGCAATATATCACTAGGTCTTGTAGGCAGAAGAAAATCTTGCTGCTTCCATCAAAGATTCCTCACTAGGAACAGATCTTCAAGAACCAAATGGGTCTGCTTGCAGAAACTTTGGCTGGTATTTTTGCCCTCATTTTCGGTTGCATTCATCTGTGTCCTAGGGAGGATTTTTGTGCCTGCGTTGACAGGAATTGGCTTCTGAGCAGGGCACAAATCCTGTGTGGAAGAGCAGAGCTGCAGCTGCCTTCTGTAAGGCCTCTCTCTCCAGAGAGAGAGATGTCACTGCCCAAGGATGTCACTGCCAAGTTAAGGTTCAGAGAGTGATGCAGCTTCAAGTCTCTGCTTCCACAAGAGCAGCTTTGGGCTCCTTGCACAGCTGCAAAGGAGCAGCACAGCTCCTGGTGAAGGTCTGACAGCTCCTGCCTGGTCCTTGCGCAGCTCTCAGTGGAGTTCTGCCGCTGCTGTCGCTCTTGGGCCAGCTGTGACTGCAGCAGGGACACCTGAAAGAGGCACAAGGCCCGGCTCAGACAAGCCCACGCTGGCAGGAGCATCTGCAGCCCCACGGTACCGGCTCTCGGGGCAGACACAGCCTCCAACTCCAGCCCTCACCAACACTCTGCCCTTGGGCAAGGGCAAAGGAACAGGCTCCCAGACACAACAGAGCTCAGAGCATCAACAAGTCCACTTCCAGGCTGCCAAACCCTTCCCACGTACATCCCTCAGCCACCACAGGTCTATTACAGACACTTCCAATGGGATTTAGGAACCCAGCTCAGATTTCCAAAGCACACATTTGGGCCACCGACCCCTTTCTCCACAGGCTGTGCCTCAGCACGAGGGCTGCTGCTCCCCTGAGTTCCTGGAGGACTCTTCTACTTGAGCTGCTGGACCGCCAGCCCAGCCATGAGGGGAATGTGGTGCTTGGGTGTTTTTGGTGCTTTCTTGAGGCATTTGAGCACCCCAAGCCCCATTTTACACATCCTCATTGTGAAAAACAAGGTTCACTCTCCAGTAAAAATTTAAAAGTTGAATAAAGGACAATAAGAGACAAAGAGAATAAAGCAATGTTTTTGTGGCCAGGTGCCTGGCATTCAGCCAAGAGCACACCTGCTATTTCAGAGATGTCCTTTACATACCCTTTCTATTGCATCAGCCTACAGCATAGTCATAAGCAATTATGCATATTTAAACTTTTCCCCAAATTACTTTACATGTTCTAAGAATTGTTTAGCATGTCTCCTCCTTGGGCCCACCTTTTCCGAGCCTGTGCATTTTGTGGCGGTGATTTGAGTTCGCCCTTGTTATCACCTCCTGTTTGGGCTTTGGTCCATTTTTTCTAGAGATGGTGGGTGCTGATAATTGGCATGTCAGCAGCAGGGGTCTCCATCATATGTTTATTGAATGTTATCCCAACCAAGCAGGCAGTTTAACACAAACATGCTATATCAGCTATTTAACTACTATGTCTAGGTTTAGTTAACAACAGAAAAAACCCTATGTTTTTATAGCAAAGTTACTCTAATACACATATAGAATCCATCTTAATATTTGCAAAAAGCCAATATTGTAATATGTATTTATAACAAAACTTTCCCCAACAGCAGCTATATCTGCACCCCTGATAGGTGAACAGAGGGGTGGGGGTTGGTTCCACAGGGGTCCTGCAGAAATTTTGGACACAACGTATTACATATCAGTGCCCCACATGCCAATGCAAAGTGACTCTGAAAGGCAAAGACATCGTCTGAACAGGACTCAGTGACACTGGTGATAAGTGTGACCGTGTGACAGAGACAAGGAAGGTGTGTTCCAGGGCACAAATGCTGCTCTGAGCCCTGGGGCCCAGGGAGCCCTGATATCAGCAGGTGTGGCAGAGTCCCCGCCAAAGCAGAGTCCCCCTGAGGCCCTGGCAGCGCTGGTGCCCATCTCCTGCCCCAGGGACCTGTGCCTCCAGAGGGCTTCTCTGCCAGAGGGCAGCCAAAGCCGACTTTGTGCACTTGGGCCTGGGCTCCATCCTACAGGGGCTCATGGTAGGACCACCTGGAGCAACTGGTGGCAACACTTGGTACGTGTCAAATGATGTTGCTCCTTCCTGGAATGATCTTTTCAAGGAAGGGATTAGCAGTAGCACAGAAAGACCAGTAGCTACAGAATTTCACAGGACAAAGAGACTCCACCAAAACACTGTCATGTTTCCTTGTGTTTTTCTGTCTTTCTTGCATTCTGAAAGAAAGAGAATTGGCCCAGCCTCTGCTATTCAACACTCCACTTACTGTGTGTCTTCCTGTGGCAGCTCATGTGCAAACACAACTGGCTGCCTGCTGAGCATGGCAAAGGATGGCCACAAACAGGGAGGTCCCCGGTGAACATCAAGACAGACACCTGGGGAAGTGCAGAGGATAGGGATAACTCTGGCAGGAGAAGCTGTTCTGTGTCTCTGATGATGCTGCCAGCCCCCTGAAGGCACGGCCAAGACAAGTGCTGGAAGCAGCCATGTCCTGCTCTTTTCTGGTCTCAGATGCACACGGGACAGACTTGTTGCCCACAGGTCCACCAGACTTGATCCAGGAAAAAATGGAAGCCCCTGCATTGGTAGGGAAGGGGCTCCAGCAAGAGCAAAGCAGGATCTTCCAGCAGAAAAGCCTGAGCTTGTGAAGCGAGCCATGTCCTCAGCAGACACCAAAGTGCTTCCCTCCAGCCTTGAATGTTGGCCACAAGTGCCTGCCTTTCTTCAGCGCCTGCTACTGCTTCCTTTGTTCCAAGCCCATCCCGGATTTAGGTTGGAAGCTCATGCACATGTTTTTAAGGTGCCTGCACAGAGGAGAGGGACGGCAGCTGCAGCGCAGGGCTCGTGCTGCCTCTCATGATGGCATCAATGC